GGAGGCCACTTACCTATGGAGGCCTCCTCACTGGATGCTTGCTAATTGTTTTAGTGCAACAGTTCGCTCCAGCAATCTGATGAACCAAAGGCACACCCCAGGGCCTGGGAAGATCTCAAGGTGCGCAAACCCCGGGGCAGCGATCAGGCCTTGGAGTCCCAGAGCGAATGTTCGGCTTCAGAATTTTGTTGGTCTGAATCTCACTGGGGTCTCCAAATGTTGAACCATGATGCAAAAAAAGACCACCGAGTCCAGTTTAAACGAAACTAAAGCAAGCTTATATCATGTGCACAAAAGCTGGCCAGCAGCTGCCTCACCTGGAAAAATAGGGCCAAGAACAGCAGCTGGTCTGGTGACAGGGAAGTTTTTATAATACAAAAAGTTACAAATAGAAGGGTGTCTTGGGAACTGACAGCTGTCAGGGTTCTGTCAAGTGTAATACTAGGGCAGTTAGCAGGTTTATGATATACATTGTTTAACATCTCAAGGTAGGAGCAAACTCAGATCCTAACATCAAAGTCAGGGAGGAGCAGCTGGATTCCAGGGAGGGTTGTTATCTCGTGAGGGACAGCCGGCTCGGGCAAGTTCAAAGCACAGGCAAGAATCCCAAGCAAGTTTTTTTTTTTTTTTTTAAACATCAAACTATGGTCAGGCCAAATAGAAACCTTATTATTTTACAGTAAAACAGTAAAATGAACTTTTCATGACGTTGTGATGAGATGGCTCCCAACCTTAAGATGGAATCAGGCTGGATCCATCACAAGGAGTGGACATGTGTTGGGCTACAGATGAGACGTGTGTTTCAGTTCCTGCCTCCGTTCCACAGAGGACCTCAGCCCTTTCCATAACAAAACAGATGGAAATGGATTCGTCTTATTTGAAAGCAATCTATCAAAAATCCAGCAAAAAATGGTTAATGCCAATATCCTGTCACCCAGAACATTTGCTTCTCAGAATAACTCCTGCAGATTGTCTTCATTCACATGAAGACAATCTCATGGTGATAGTGTGGAGTGAGGTTTGTCAAAGTAAGAAAGCAACCCATGCAAATGTCCATCAAAAGCAGACTGATTAAAATAAGCTGTGAACAGCAACATAATGAAATGCTTCCAGTCATTCAAATGGGTGAGCCAGATCTGCACATACCAAGCTCTACAGTAAAGTGCAAAAAGCAAGATGGAGAAGGTTTGGGTTGTCATGTCCATTTGCTTCTATGCTCACAAAGTACTTCTGGAAGAATGAGAAGGACACTACATCTGGGGAAGGGAGCTGGAAGACCAGGGCCAGGGGCAGAGGAAGGTTATTTTCACCCTTTTGTACCCTCTGAATCTCTATTGTTATCATGGACAGACAGAGCTTCTTAAGATATGATTTGGTCCAGTAAAGTATGGCATCAGCCCAGTCCCTGGGGAATGGGATTGAGCCTAGAATCCAAGTACCTATGAAAATTGCAAAGCCCACACTGCTGGTTAATATCTGGAGTGGACCTAAGCAAGGGGTCAAGGGGCCCACTTGCTGGAAGAAGAAAAGCTACCAAGGGGTAGTCCAGCCACAGGTGTTTCTAGGTTGGCCTGCTCTCCCTCCCTGGGAGCGGAGGGATTTAGGTGGAGACTGGTGGGAAGGCCAATCTCAGAATGATGTGGCAAAGGGAACCCCAAGTCAGACGAGCCCAAGGTGCCCCAGCAGGTCCAATGAAGACAGCACTTGTCCAAACACCCACAGAAGGCAGGTGCTTCATCCCAGAGCTTTTGAGGAACTTGAACTCTGTATTGACAGGAGCTTCCAAATTCCTGGCCAAAGGGGAAGTGAGAAAGGTGATGAGAAGCTTTTCTCTACTGTTGGTTCTGCTTTTCCAGCAATACGAGGTTTCCCAGGAGGCCAGCTCAGGGGGTGCCCCCAATCCACATGAAGTCACTGCCCAGAGTCAGTGGCCAGCAGGGGCCCAGCACACTCCCAAATGTTCCCTATGGAATCCCCACACGAACCCTGCAAGTTGACACTGTTAACCCCATCTGGGGGATGGGATATAGGCGCAGAGAAGGACAGGACTCAAATTTCAGCATCTCCTTGACTTAAGTTGCCACGGTCACTCCTGTAGCTGATGGGGTACCAATGGGAGTTGATTTATTTATATCTGCCCCCCTCCATTTGTACGTTGGAGTCCTAACTCCAGTACCTCAGTATGAGACTTTATTTTAAAACAAGATCATTGCAGATATAATAAGTTAGATTAAAATGGGATCATCAGGGTGGGTCCTGATTCAGGATGGCATCCCTAGGACAGGGAGGTTGGGGTGCAGTCAACACACCTTAGGGCAACCCTAGGGCAGAGAGCGATGCGAGGCATGTACCCACCCAGGAATAGCTAAGGCTGCCTGCCAATCACCAGAAGGCAGGGAAGAGGCACGGGACAGATCCTTCCTCATACCCCTCAGAAGCAACCAACCCTGCCAACGCTTTGACTTCAGACCCTCAACCTCCAGAACAGTGAGAAAAGAGATTTCTGTTAAGCCGCCTCGCTCGCTGTTACAGCAGCCCTGGCAAACCAACACAGGTACCGCGTTCTGTCCCCTGTGGAGTTCTGGGGTCCAACCCACAGCCCCGTGCAGAGCCTGTCCATCCTCCACTTGCTGCTGGCCCCATCTGGGCAGAACCCAAAGCTGCCCACACCAGGCTCTTGATGAAGCCACTTTCACGAGGTGGTAAAGACCCGCAGCTGTCCTTTCCCCTCACCATCCTACGGGAGTCAGGAGGGGTTCTCTACCAGTTCCCCTAAAATAAGGCAAGGAAGAAGGCCCCCCCCCCAGAGAGAAGCTTCTAGAAATTTAGGGGCAGTGCAACAAGTGGACACGGACATCTCCTTTCCTACCTGGCTATCGGCTGAACTTCCCGCACCCAGAGGAGGAGGGGGGAGGAACACAGGCCAGGGATGGGACGGTGGCAGGTGGCAGGGGCGGCAGGAGAGCAGCAGGGGCCTCCCTGCGACTCCCCAGGGAAGGAAAACTGGCCAGTTCTGACCCCAGGCCTGGGGTTGAGGATGTGACTTGGAGGGACAAACACAGAGGATGGCTGTCCCAGGAGCTGTCCCTGCCTGGGGCCACTGATTGGAATGAGACCCTCATCAGGGCTGGCGGGGCCTCCTTAGCCACCCTGAACTGGCAGACATCAAGCTTGGCCAGCGCAAGGACCCTAAGCAAGGTGACAGCAGTATCACGATCACTGAGGTCAGCTAAGAGGACACCTGCCCCCAACCCAACTCAGGCAGCTTCCCTTCCTCTTCCTCAAGGGAACAGAGAAGGGGAGAGGGAGAAGGAGAAGGAGGGGGTGAGAGCGAGAGAGCAAGAGGGACAGACGGACAGAGACAGAAAGAGAGGGGAAGAGAACACACACACACACACACACACACGTCCCTGAAGCCACAAGAGTCACAGAAAGCCAGCCCGGAACCAGGGGGAGGACATTAAGGAGGCCCTGAGGTCGCCATTTTCACATGAATAGGACCAAGTCTCAAAGAAGCCAAGAGGACCAAAAAGTGATCGTCTTGAAGGGAGCTCACTACCCAGGGGACAGACTCGGACAGAACATGAGCATCAGCAGTCACTGAAAATCCAAAATCATCTCGTGTTCATTCTCTGACAAGAACCTTCAGGATGAGCTTCCTGCACCCCACTTCACACCTTCTCTCCTGCCCCTCTCCTCCACCCACCCCTGGCCCACACCCTCCCACACCTCCTCGGCCCTCTAGAATGCCCGTAGCACTGGCTGGGGCTGTCCTCTCCACCCAGGACGCCATTCCTCTCTCTGTTCATCCAACTCCTACTTCAACACCAAGCTCCGGCACCCACTCTCTGGAGCGCTCCCATGAGCCCTCCCGCACTTCCTGTGTCTCCTAACACTGACTCGGCAGGATTGTGCCTTGATATGATGGAAAGGAGATAGAAAATGGGAGGAACCAAAAGAGAGATGAAGCCAGGCACAGTGCACGCCTGTAATCCCAGTGGCTTGGGAGGCTGAGGCAGGAGGATCACAAGTTCAAAGTCAGCCTCAGCAACTTAGTGAGGCCCTAAGCAACTCAGCAAGACACTGTCTCTAAATAAAATACAAAAAAAAAGTGGAGGGGGAGCTGGGGATGTGGCTCAGTGGTTGAGTGCCCCTGAGTTCAACCCCTGGTACCCCCTAAAAAAAAAAGAAAGAAATTACTGAAATACAAAACAACATGAACTAAGCTTAAAAACATGGAGGCAACCCGTCAGAGAGGAAGATATGCCGCACTTATATGAAGCCCAGAGCAGGTAAAATTACTATGTGGCCCTAGAGGGCAGAGCAGCGGTTTCTGACATAGGATGCAAGGAGGGAGATTGACTGGGGAGAGGCACAAGGGATTTCCTGGGGTGATGGAAAGTTCTACACCTGGATTATGGTGCGGTCACCCAGGTGCATGCCTGTGTCAAGATCCATGGTGCGGTACACTTAACGTGTATGCATTTTATTGCATATAAATTATGCCTCAAAAGCTGATTAGAAACAACACAGGCAAGAGAAAACCCACTTGGAGTTCCTGGATACACCTGTTGTATTTGTGACCTGATTTGATTGGCTCTTGCATGATGTCAGTAGAGAACAGTGGATTTCGGCCCAGCCAGAGGGCAGAGCACGGGCAGGCTGGTTGGAGAGATCCGTGGCACGCAGCCATGCTGTGATGGCCCTCACTGCCAGCTGGGTGTTTAGACTTCAGCTTCCCGATAACGGGAATGAATGGCTGGTGTTCAGCTAGAGAGGGGTGTGACAGGAGGGGAGGAGGAGGGGCCCTCCCAAGCACTGAGCCAGAAAGTTTGAAAGAGGAAGAATTGGGAGGTGTGGCAAACAGAAAACTCAAACAATTTCACAAGCAACCTTTTCTTCATCTCAAGTTGCTGGGAACTAGACCTCTACCCCACTCCCCAGTTGGCTCAGATCTCATCCGGCTTCTGGCTTTATAAGTACCTCAGCCTCTGCCTTCACCTTTGGTAAGGGAGGCTCCTATGAAGAGCTTCTGACCAACCTCTGCAGAGGAAGGAACTGAGGAGGGCAAGGATGATGGCCAGACCGTACCATGTAGTAGTGGTCCTATTGCTGCTGGAAAGTTCCGCCAGGTTTGGAGAAGGAGCTTCTAATCCTGGAGTTGTGGCCAGGATCACCAGAAAAGGCCTGGAATATGGTAAGGGAACTGAGTTGCTTTTTCTGAGGCCCACTGCTGCCCACCAGAATGGTGTGGTCACAAGGACAATGAGTCACAGGCTGGGGTTCCTCCACCACCTGGTTTGGACATCTTGGGATATGTTGTGGGTTAGGTCAATATATTCAAATTCCTCATCTTGAATATCAGAGGGTAAAGACTAGGTCAGCAATTTTCCCACATTAAAATTGCTGGGAGCCAGGTGTGATGCACACCTGTCATCCCACGACTTGGGAGGCTGAAGCAGGTGGATCTCGAGTTAAAGGCCTGTCTGGGAAATTTAGTGAGACCTTATTCCCCCAAAAATCTTAAAAGTGTGCTGGGGTATAGCTCAGTGGTACAGCGCTTGCCCAGCATGGGTGAGGCACTGGGTATGATCCTCAGCACCACATAAAAAACAAATAAATAAAAAATAAAAGTCAAGTTCTTAAAACAGTGGGAGGCGGTGGCTGGGGATGTGGCTCACTGAGAGAGCACTTGTCTAGTATTGCCTGAGCTCAACGACTGAAAAAGAAATTACTGGAACATTTGCTAAAATACAGATTCTGGCCAAGTACGGTGGCCCACACCTGTAATTCCAGCAGCTTGGGAGGCTGTGGCAGAAGGATCATGAATTCTAAGCCAGCCTCGGCAACTTAGCGAGACACCATCTTTAAATAAAATATAAAAAGGGCTGGGGAATTGGTTCAGTGGTTAAGCGCCCCTGGGTTCAATCCATGGTACAAAAAAAAAAAAAAACAAAACAGATTCTGGGGATCCACTCAATATTGACTGGGGCCAGACCTAAAAATCTGCTAACAAACTGTCCAGGCAATAGTGAAGGGGCAGGAGATTTGACCAAACTGTAGCAGATGATTCCTCAAGAGCCCCCTGTAATTCATTATTGCTCAAGATCTGTTGAAGGAATAAAGAACAATGATTGCCATTTACCTGGTGCTCTGAGTCCCAACCCAATTTAATAAGCCTTTAGGTCACTGTCATTGTTACCATTTTCCTGACGAGGAGGCCGAGGCTCAAGGGACTCTCGTGGGATTGCATCAGTAGTAAGTGGCACATTGTCAGAACCCGCTGACAATCTGTAATCCTGGTACAGCAGAGATGCTTAAGAAAGACACACGCGCACATACGCATTCAGCAGAAAATGAGCACCGTCTTTACTTTTTTCTCTCCTTCTTTTATACAGCATTGTTAATTAAAACAAGGGAAAAGAAAAAAAACATCCTTTCGGCAGCTTAATCCTTATAAGCATGGATAAACATTCTCAGGAAAACTTTGTTTATGGTCACAGTGCTCCATATTTCTTATCAATTAACTTGTGGTTAGTTATTCCCAGGCAAATATATATATATAAAGAATGTTCTGCCAAGTGTAAAATACATATATATATATTTTACACTTGGCAGAACATTCTTTTATCTTCTTAAGACAGCAACAAGGACACAGTTCAAAGAGTTCATACTTTCTCACAGAACTCCTTGTTTTGCTAAAGCACGGCAAAACTTAACACTTTGTGTGCGTGAACACACAGCACAGCTTGCGTTCTAACCCAGCGTGTGTGATTCTACAGCCCGGCCACCAAATCTGCCTCCCGCTGAATGAAGTCCCTCGGCTCACAGCTCCTTCTTTTCCCCATCCCCACCCAGCAAACCAGTACGCAGTGGCCACCCTGAGAAAGGAGCTGCCGGCCATCAGGTTGCCTGACTTCTCAGGAAGCTTCAAGATTGGTTGGTTTGGACGGGTGAGCTACAATTTTCACAGGTGAGGTCTCCTTTCCCCAAATCGGGGGCCGCAGAGGAAGAAGGATGGAAACCTAGGATCCTGGGGAAGGGAGTCGGCAAAGACAGAGGGATGATGGCCAGCTCTTGTGGGGCTTCCAGAAGGGGGTGTGTGCTCCTTGAATCATCAGAACGAAAGAGAGACCCTTAGAAATCATTCCCAAGCCCTGGGTCAGTCCTCCAGAAAGACTCAGTCCCTGAAGAGGTGTCTGATAGGAGCTGACCCCACTGTGGACGTGGAACCACCGCCAAAGGCAATTCCTGGCAGAAAGAGAAGAAGAAACACCCTGGCTTCTCCCGCTTCCCTCCACCACACTCCCCTCAAGTACTTCCCATGGGCCAATTCTAACCAGAAGCCAATTGCAAAGGAGCCTGGGAAATGTAGTTTGCACAGGTCAGTCCCAGTCCACGTGGTTCAGAGCGTGGGAAGGCCAGGGAATGGATCTAAAAGCCAATAATCAAATGGAGAGCATGGTGCGTGCCCACCTAAAGAGGACAGCGCTTCTCGCCTGTAGTTGGTCAATGCCGTGGGGAGCGTGGCATTTTCCTTTGGATTTTTTCAAGACAAGCCAGAAATCTAGTTGTTTGCCCACATTTTTACAGCTGATTCATAATTTATTAAAAAAAAAGTACATAGGAAAAAAAAAAAATATATATATATATATATATATATATCCCACAGGTTGCCAGGGAATGATCTCTGATCCGAACCGTGAGTCCTTGTTTTTGTTCTGTGGTGCTGGGGATGGAACCCAGGGCCTGGCGCATGCGTAACTCACCCACAGCCCCGAGCCCTTGTTTCTATTTGAAGTAATGAGGGGCAGAGAGCAGAGGGGACAGCTGCTTCCTGGAGACCTCAGGGTGGAGACAGGCCAGCTCACACGGTGCTCGCCAGAGTCAGGTCAGCAGGGTGGACAGGAGCAGCCGTGAGGATGTGTGTCAAAGGAGAGAGGAGGGCCTTGGCCTTGGAGGGTTGGAGAAGCTTCCTGGAGGAGGCCTGAGCGGATCTTGAAAGAGGCACAGGAGACGGTTGGATGGTCCTTTGTGGGTTAAGTCAATATATTCAAGAGAGAGTGAGAGGAACGGGAGGAGACTCACTCAGAGATGTTTTTTGTTTTTTATTTTTATTATTATTTTTTAATGTTTTTAGTTGTAGATGGACACAATACCTTTATTTTATTTATTTCTTTTTAAGTGGGGCTGAGGATTGAACCCAGGGCCTCATAAGTGCAAGACAAGCATACCAGCACTGAGCTACAACCTCCGCCCCATGCCCCTGTTTGTTTGTTTGTTTGTTTTGTTTTAATGGGTTTGACATCTGCTTTCCTCCCCAGCCTGAAGATCCATCGCTTCGAGGTCCGAAACTCAGATCTGAGTCTACTTCCAGGGCTGGGAATCAGAGCTTCCCTGTCCAACAACGATCTGTCTATGGGTGGGAACTGGAAGGTGAAAAAAGGATTCATGTGAGTAGCACTCGGGTAGGAATGTGGCTCAGCTCTGGGCAAGGGCACACCCTCCCTCCCTCCCTGGTTATTCAAAGTCGGGTCTATAAAGGACCCAGATCCAACAATCCTTAAGCTTTAGTTTCCTTATCTGGGAAATGGGGTTAATAATAACACGTCTCAGAGATGTTATTGTTTAAATAAAACAGCGGAGGTAAGGCATTTAGCAGTATGCCTAGCACATAGCAAATCCTCAGTGACATTGTTTTTAAAGAGAAGGGGAGGCCCAGGCAGGAGGCACAGCCGGTTAGTGGGAACCTGGGAGACAAATCTGGGGCTGTGTCTTGGTTGCTCTTCTTGATGGTGACTCAGCTTATACAGCAGTTTACTTCTCATTTCCCCCAACCAGCAACCTGAAAGGCTCGTTTGATCTGAAGGTGGATGGCATTTCCATCTCAGTCTCTCTGAACTTGGGCAAGGACGAGACTGGGCGACCCACGGCCTCCGTACACCACTGCAGCAACTCCATTGGCCGAGTGAGCGTCCGCATTTCTGGAAGCTTAAGGTAAGTGACCTCAACACACTGGCTAGAGACAGTGCTGCCTCAGTAACATGCTCAACCCTCATTCAGCCCATCTAACAGGCAGAAGAGCAAGATTTCCAGGGTTCAGGAGCAGGAGTCCGTAGGCCAAATTCAGCCTGCCACCTGTTTCTGTAAATAAGATGTTATGGAAACAGAGCCACGACCACTCATTTACATTTTGGTAGTGGCTGCCTTAGCTCTACAATAGTAGAGCTGGGTAGGAGCAACAGAGCCCACAGGACAGGCAAATGCCCCAATCATTTACTATCTGTCTCTTTAAGAAAACACATGCTGATTCCCAGGCAAGATGGTCTTCAGTGGGAACCCAGCACGCCAACGAGATTTGCCCATGGGAGATACTCAGGGGACACTGAATGAAGGGTGGCAGTCTCCAGAACGACTGCTTTCCCAGTATTTGTCACAGCATCACTCAGGTCCTGGCAGGCAACTCCACAGGCTTAGCTGATAAGACACTCTTGAGGAGACTGTCAATCAAAGAGGACTGAATGGTGGAAACCTACAAGGAGTGCTGCACCTGAGAGTGTGACAGCAGGGGGCCAGTATCACCCCGAGGGTTGAAGGCCAGAGGGGGAGAAGGGCGTTGCAGATCTAGAAGGATATCCATGGAGGAACACGGCCATCGCCAGGACACGGTGGGGCAGCAGAGCAACAGAAGCCCAGCAAGAGGGCTTGGGAGGTAAATCGGAAGGACAGAGCTGGACCTGGCAGGCAGCAGGGGCACACAGGGTAAAGAGCCAAGGCCCTCTGCTAGAAGCTAACCTTCTGGGCCTCGTTGACAAGATCAAAATGCCCACGGAAGCATGGAGACCTGCCATCCTGTGCTTGCAGGCGATCTGTGTTTTGGGAAGCAGAGACGGTTAGTTGTTCATTTACTCACTGATTAATGTTTTCTGCACAAATGCTTGGAGGCTTCAGCTGGAATCTGCCAAAGGAGAAAGGAAACTTTTAGTTGAGGCTGAAGCCCTGGGAGCACTGTCTTAACCAGGCAGTGGGTTGCGGTGACCAAACACCTGACAAGAACACTTAGGGGAGGAAGTATATCTGGGGCTGTCAGTTTTAGTGGTCTTCAGGCCATGGTTGGCCACCTTCCTTGCTCTGGGCCTGAGGTGAGGCAGGACATCATGGGGAAGGGACAGCAAAGGAAAGCTGCTCAGCTCACGGCAACAGGAAAAACAGGAAATGCAAGGCCAGAGACCAATTATAAACCCCAAGGCACGGCCCCAGTGACCTATGTCCTCCAGCCACGCTCTGCCTGCCTAGAGTTATCTCCAGTACTGTAAATAGTCCTTTCCAATTATTAATCCATCAGATGAATCAATCCACTCATCAGGTTATAACTCTCACAATCTGATCGTTTCCCTCCTGCATCGACACAGAGCTTTTTGGGTGGACATCTCATATCTGAAGCCTCACAGGTGGACATAGTCCCCATTTCTCAGGAGCAAATTCATGAAATTCTATGCAGTTCACACACACACATAGTGTGGCCAGAAAAATCTTTCAGCTGTTTGCTTGTTGGCAGCTGCTACATGATTGGGATTCTAGGGATATAGACACAGAAAACATGGTCTTGACCAAAACGGGAAAGTTTGTAGCTTTACCAACTCATTCATTTAACAAATACTTATTGATTCCCTTATTATTTACCAGATCCTGATCTAACTGCAAGATCAGGATATATATAAGAGGAAGCAATAGACAGAGTCTCTACCCCAGTGTGGTATTAACATTTTAGTATGTGATGAACTACACTTGACATAATTATGATGACATGCTCATAAGGAGAGACCAGGTGCTCTGAATGCAGAAGGATTGGCCTAGCTTATGCATAGAGACAGTTTCCTGGAAGATAGGATATCAGAAATGAGCCTGGAATTTACGCAAAATGGGAAGGGGAGGAGAGAGCTTTACTGGCATAAAGAGAAGCACGTGCAAAGATCCTGAGGCATGAAAATGCTGTGCTTTTCAGGAAGTAAAAAGAAGTCAGTGTACCTCAAAAGGATGGTATGGGGGTTACCAGAAGAATTTAAAGGATTAGGCAGGAACAGGATTATGAATTTTCTCTTACAGGGCAGTGGCAAGCCATTGAAGGATTTTAAGAAGGCAGAGGGGTGATAAAATCAGATTTTTGCTGTAAAAGATAGCATCTTTAGGAGAGATCAGAGTGAGGCAGCACAAAGGGAAGGAGATGGCTTGCAGGCAGAGGCAGTTGTCAAGGTGAGAGATGATGGGCCGCAGACAGCTGCTGACGCTGGAAGCGGGAGAAGAGGTTGAACTTGGGCAGGAAGGCAGGGAAGGAGTCCAGGGTGACTTCACGGAGTCTGTGACCCACGGAAAAACCTCTTACTGCTTCAATATGTTGGCACAGGTTGTAGGCCTACCCATGGGTGTAGAAGGTTTTACTGGGAGCAATACCCCAACCATGGCCATCAGGGACCCCAACCAGGGTGTCTACAGCAACAGCCGGACAGCTCAGGCCCACCCAGGGACCAAGGTTCAGGCAGGCTGTGGGTCCCAGGTTTGCTCCGGGGGTAGAGCTCTGGAAAGTTCAGGATGCTTTCTGTAGAACCCAGGAAGCACATGGTTTTACTATCGTAATACACACCTGTGTGATGCTCCTGCACCTGCTCAGCACCTCACCAGCCATCAGCCAGCAGGAACCGAATGGCAAAGGAAACTTCACGAGAGAGAAAAGGTTGCCAGAGTAAGTCAGGTAACTTAGTCCCTGTGTTTCCAACCACCTTTCACCCTCGACTGCAGTCTTTGGAAGAACACGGTGTGGGAACCCTGTCCCGGTCCTCACTTCTGCCAGGGGGGTGTCTGTGCTCGGAGGGAGCCTCTGCAGGTGACTTTATCTGCAGTGGCTTCTACTCATCGGATCTCCATGAAATTAACAAGTGACTAAACTAAACTGTTGAACTGCTGGGGAAAAAAAAATTGTTTGGCAGGCTTGGGGAAGGTATAAAGAATAGGCTTAACCCCCACCTTACACCTTAAATGTTTTCAAATGTTTTTAATAGGTGATTTATCAAAATTCAAGATGTGCAAAAGGTTACAGGGTGGGGAAATCTCTCTCCACTTTAGTTTCCTACCGATCAATTCTCCTTGCTAGCAGCAACCAAGGCTGAGCATCCCAGGTGTGAGTCCTGAAATTCTCTGACTGCCTGGGTGGGTATTTAGTCTTTTAGTTTTTACACAGAGAGGAGCGTGCTGTATACAATCTCACATCCCTAGCTTTTCTTCACTTCGCGAGTATTTGTAAATCCTTCCTCATCAGAAAGCAAGTTTCCTTTTCAAATTAATCCATTACAAGAAGATTCTACAATGACTTAGCAGTCATCTGTTGATAAACTGGGGCTGGAGATGTCACTTAGCGGTAGAGCACTTGCCCAGCATGCACGAGGCCCTGAGTTTTGTCCCCAGCACCAAAATCAAAATAAAAGAGACAGGAATGAACTTGAGTGGTTCCCATGGAAGCCAGGGGATAGAGTTGTAGCTCTGACTGGATCCAGGTGTTTGACCAGCATCACCGGGAATCTCTGGCTCCTGGTTCTGCTTTTTTCTCTATTGGTTTCATTCTGAGGCAGGGTCCCCCACCCTAGAGTGGAAAAGATGGTCACTGGGAGCTCAGGCTTCCTTGGCCCTCAGTGAAAGCATCCTTTACCATAAAAGCCCTGGGAAAAGCTCTCATTGGTCCACACTGGGTCACATGCTCATCCCTAGACTAATCAGCATGAACTCTGATTGGCTGAACAGGGTTTGCTACTCATTCTTAGACCTGGGGGCTAGGGAAGAAGTGGGCCTTAAGATGTACATAGTTATACTAAAGGTTGTCCAGGGTTTTCCCCCTTTGGATTAAATGCATCTGCCTGGGTCCCATTGTTGAGATAAAATGGGGAAAGTTCAGATCCCTGGGTAGCCTTCCTTTTGGGAGCCTCAGTTCACCTTAAAATGTATCCTGACCTTCTTTCTCTTCTCTTCAGATGGATCCTGAATCTCTTCCATAAAAGAATTGAAAGCAGTATCAAAAGAATCTTGGAAAACCAGGTAAAAAGATACACATATTGGTCATTAGCACATGAATCACCAAGCATCTGCTTATTTGATATTTGGAAAGAGCCTTTTCCCTTAAGTATGTGGCCATTTGAATTTGCTTAGAAACACCTTCCTCATTCATGGTGCAAAGGCAAATGTCAAGGCCTTCTCAGGTTTGTGTGAGCACACACGCTAAACTGGCATTTGGAACTGACCAAGGTTATTTGATTATCTAACTGTTGGTAATACTAGTGAGAAAGACTGGCAATAAATTATTTTGAATCCCTCCCTCACGCCATACAGAAATTCAATTCCAGGTGTTCTGTGGATTTAAATGCCACAATATATCTTAAAACTTTTTTAGGAGAAAATCTAAGGTATCTATCTCACCTTAAGAACTTGATTTCCCAAGTAAGAAAATATTGAGAATAGCAGTGGGAATGGCCTTGGTCTTGGTGGCAGAGAGATACCTCTTCATTTAACACTCCATGCACTGTGGGACAAGTCAGTGAGCCCACCGGAGACAATGACCCCTACCTTGAAGAAAGTTGGTGAGGATTTCATGAGATAAACACCCAGAATATCTGGTATACAAGTGGGGCTCAGTGCACTCACATCTCAGAGCCCTGTCTCAACTGGACTCACCGTACTTGAGCTCTGTTGTCAGATGCTCAGAGTTTAAATCCCAGCTCAGTCATCGTCAGGCTGTGAGGTCTTGAATAAGTGACTTAACCTCTTTGAGTCTTAGGATTCTTATCTGTAAAATAGGAATAATCACAAGATACAACATGTACCCTGCTGGGCTGTTCTGAGGACCAGGCAATGTGATATACTTAACTAGTGAGCACCCAGGGACTGAGTAAGAGCTGAGTGAATGGGGGTAAGGCTATTTTTACAGACAGTTGAGCTCCCCACCAGTCCTGTGTGGGTTGCAGTCACTGACCTAACAATTGAAAAATCTGGATGTCACTTGTCCAGAGGGAATGAGGCTAGTGCTAGGGAGGCTGAGCCCAGGGAATGGACAGGTTCAGATGTCATCCCTGACTTAAGTTCCCACAGAGCTGTGAGTTCCAAGTTCCAGCAGGCTCTGCAGAAAGAGGATCTCTGGCCAGGGGACCTAGGGGACAATGGAGAAGATCTAAGGAGGTCACACTCCAAGCCATGGGAGGGCTGGTTCCTGAGTAACACTGCCTGGCTCAAAGGTCCAGGAGAGGCTGGTTGGGTCTACCTGGAAACCTCTGGCTGGCTTAGATTAGAATTTTGCACTAAAACAATGCTTCTCAAAATGCAGAAATCTCCAGAGTTGATTTTATGAATTATGAAGCCTCGGTATTAAATTATGCAGAATGACAGAATAAGTAACCCCAGCTGCAGTATTCTTTCTATTTCTTCTTATGTCAAAGACAGGACATTTCAGTGGGGTTTAATGCATCCCTAAATACAAAGAGAGCATTATCTAATTAGGCAGCAGCATCTGGCCAGACTTCCAGAGCATATTTTTCTAAATCCTTCATGTTCATTTTCCCAGTTATTCCCTCTTTATGCCAAAGGAGACCAGTTTTCTACTGACAAGAGATAGTTTCTATATTTTTATTTAATGTATGTGATTTTAATATGACCACTTGGTAGAAATAACAGTTCAAAAATGAGAAAGGCAAAAATCATGAAGATGGTGTAGGAATCGCTGAAATTGGGAAATTAGGAGACTGGGAGCTTCTGGGACCGCCCCAGCCTGGGACTCCATGGCTGACGGACCCAGCAGGAAGCTGGCAGCCAATGCAGACCCTGGAATCCATTGGAACCCGCCTCTGCTTTGCTTTGGCGCCATCTAGTGACTGCAGTCAGTACTGCCTGAGGAGCCTCCTTGGTGCTGGGACATGGCTCCCCCTTATTCCAGAGGGGCATTAATGGTGAGGTTCCAGGAAGCAAGTAGGAAGAGGAGTCAAAGGGGCCAGAGAATGGGGTGTGGAGTCTCTGAGTCCAGAGTTGCGCCATGTACCAAGGAGCTCCACTGCTTTGTCCCCTGGTTCTAATAACTCTGTGTAAGTACTGTACTTCTTGGTGCCTTAGCCGCCAGCACCACATTGACCGGAGGACAGTATCAATAGCACACCCCAGAGCAAGGCCAGCCTGACCACCAGCCACTTTTAATGTAGATTCCAGGAAAGTCCAGGAACGTAAACTGGGCCCCCCTGCGTGAAAGGCCAGTCCAACTGGAACAGCGGCCAAGTGCTGTATGCACAGGGAGTGGTCTCTCCTTCCTTTCCATCATTTCCCTGCCCTGCGCACACACAGAGGTGCCCATGAGACAGGAATGCCACCAGGGTTCCTAGAGAGGAGTGGGGAAGCCAAGGGCATGGCCAGGGAAAGGCGGAGGAAGGACTCACCCCACTTTCTCACCCACTTCCGACAGATCTGCCAAGTGGTCAAGAAGTCATCAGACTCACACCTGAAGCCCTACCTCCAGACTCTGCCAGGTTTGGAGCCCTCCCACCTGACTTCTCTGGGTGCCTTCAGATGCCATGTCACTGGGCCTCCCTGAAACCGTCACCCCTGGGGCAGCCCTGGGAGAATTGCCATTGAGTATCTCCATCCTGCAGAGATGGCTTTGGGGTGACCATCTCTCCTGGGATCTGTTCTCTGGAGATGGGGAGAAAAGGGATTGAGGAGGTATTCAAAAGCCTGCTGGGAGCCAGGGGCTCGGGAGGCTGAGGCAGGAAGATCACAAGTTCAAAGCCAGCCTCAGCAATTTAATGAGGCACTAAGCAACTCAGTGAGACCTGGTCTCTAAATAAAATACAAATTGGGCTGGGGATGTGGCTCCATGGTCGAGTGCCCCTGAGTTCAATCCCCAGTATCTGGCGTGTGCCGGCTGCTTTCACAAAACTGGGTGCTGTGAAATCCCTGGGTGAGGCTGAGGCCCTCCCACCCTCACCTCTGCTGCCACAGGAACACAGGGGCGGTCACCAATGCTCCTGGAGACTGTCTCAGACTCCTGTGATTCTCAGAATACTGAGCCCAGCCTTGGCAGCAGGCCCTGTGTGGTCTGGCCTGTCCATTACATCCCAGTCCTCAGGGTCATCTTGCTCCTGTCCCCACTCACTCAGCCACATGGGCCCATGAGTCCCTCTAGCTACGACCTCCGTTCTGCTGCACCGTCTGCACCCACATTGCCCCCTCTGCCAGGAATGCCCTCTCCGTGTCCCCCCCGCATCCACTCAACACCTCCTCCTCCAGATCCCAGCCCCAGCAACCCCTCCTTCAGAAACCCTGCTTGACTCCTGTCCAAGCTAAGTTGCCTACACCCGCTCTGCCCCAGTTGCATGGCTGCATCACCCTACGGACTTCTGCTGCCTGATACAGCTGCAGTGTTACATTTATCTGCTCAAGTGTCTGACTGCCTATTTCCCCTCTGGACTCGTGAGGACAGAGACTTTGCCCACCTTATTCACAGCTGTTTCTTGGGCACCTGCATCACGCCTAGTGTAGAGCAGGTGCTCAATAAAATATTGAATGTGCCCAGTGCAGTGGCACCTGTCTGTAATCCCAGAGACTGGGGAGGGTGAGGAGGATGATTGCAAGTTCTAGGCCAGTCTCAGCAACTCAGTGAGACCCTGCCTCAAAAAGGGAGGGGGTGGCTCAGGATATAGCTTGGAGAACCCCCTGGGTTCAATTGAATGAGCAGAGTGGACAAATAAGACAATCTCTCTTTCTCTTTCTCTCCCCCTCCCTCCCTTCGTTTTTCCTTTCATACCCGCCTCCACTCCTTCTCCCTCTCCCTTCCTTGGCTAAAGGTACCAAGAATTGGCCCCAACCCCATTTCCGTGTTAATGAGTTCCTTGGAGTTGTGCTGCATACACTTGCACAACTGTAATTAGCTGGGAATAATGTGTTCACAGGCTGCTTCTTTCCTTTCCCACAGTCACCCTGATGATTGACCAGGTTGCTGGTATTGACTACAGACTGTTTGGAGCTCCCCAGGTGACCTCTAAAAGTGTGGACATACCCATCAAGGTAAGGGGCTGTAGAGAGAGCACCTTGGAACTGAAGACTGGTAGAGCATCAGATTCACCTCTCAGAGTCAGCTCTTCCTTTTCCTTTCAAGTTCATCTACCTGTTAGTCACTGTTCCTGACCAGTGTCCAGGGTGGGCACAGGTGGCACTAGTCACAACAGACCAAGACCTAATGCAGGGGTTCTGTGAACCAATGAGATAAATCTGTCTGAAATACAAAGACCTGGGCTTGAAGTCCTGGCTCTACCACTTATGTGCTGGGGTGCTTGGGAGAGTTATTTAACCTCTCTGAGCCTCTATTAAATTGAAATAATCATAGCCTTAACCCCTCAGAGTTTACAGGAATGAAGTGAGATGATGTGCATAAGATTCCCAGCAGATACCTGGCACTTGTATGCATAAGGGGACACTCTCTACTGCCTGCATCACCCCTCGCAGACTGCACGGTGGCTCCCTAGGATGTCCGCATCCTAACCCTCAGAGTCTGTAAATGTCACCACATATGGCAAAAGCACTTTGCAGATGTGATTAAGGGCCTGGAGATGGGAAAATTATCCTGGTTTATCCTGCTGGGCTCAGTGTGCTCACAGGTCCTTACAAGAGGGAGGCAGGAGGTGAAGAACAGGAGAGGGGCGGGAGGTTAGGGGTGGGGAGGAGGCCTCAAGCCAAGGAGAGCTGGTGGCCTCCAAGGCTTCAGAGTCTCCCTGGAAGCCTTCAGAAGCATCGCGGGCCCCAAACCTGTGGGGAATTAATTTGTGATCCACTAAGATTGTGGTCATTTCCTACAGCCACAGAGGAACCGGACACACCCCTCTGCATTCCCAGTGTTCCCTCTTCACTCCCTGTGGGTGGAGCCAGGCCCTGGAGCTGCCTTAGCTCACACTTACCTGCCTCTTGCTGTGGGTCAGTTCTAAGAGTTTGTACAAATAATAACTGACCGAGATTTCACACCATTAGCCCCGTCCCCTTTTTTAGGTGAGGAAGTTGGTAACTGGCCCAAGGTCCAGAGCTAGCAAGACGCATGATTCCAGTCCTGGCAGGGGGCTCCAAACTCCATGCTCTTCACCATGGCTGTGCCTCCTATGTCGTGGTCCCCTGAGGACACAGGAGGCTTGGTCCACCCCAAAGGGATGCCACGCTGATGAGTGGTTCCTATTGGATATGGAAAATGAAAACCCCCAACTAGTGAGGACTGGGAGAAGGGAGTGGAAAAGAGAGGCAGACACGGATAGCTCTTATCTCTCTCAAGATCAGCCTTTTTTCAGATGCTGGCCACAGATGGGGAGAAAGTGTTTCTAAAGACTAGACTGACTCTCTAGGAAACACTAATCTCTCCCAAGACAGCTCCTCTCCAGGTGCTGGCCACTGACCCCGAGCCCCAAAACCCAAATTCCTGAGTGCTCAGACTGACATGCGCACTAAATCACCCACAGCCTACGTGAGCCCCCAGTCCCCTCCTTTGTTCAGTGGCTCATTTTCCACCAGGAGAGGGGGTCCATTCCCCCAGGGGTAGTCCTGTTCCTAATTAAAAGGCTGAAATGATCCATGAGGTTTGCCCCCGGCCGGGTCTCTTTGGGCTATCAGTTTCAGGCAGCTGTCAGGACCTAGGTAATGTGGGTCTAGAGGGAATCTTTGAGCACATTGACCCCTCACTCTGGAGAAGAACCCTACCCCAGCTGTCCCCAGGGCACGGGAGGCCTCCACCTGGCAGGCTTTGGATGCTTCTGCCTGAGACCTTCACCCTAACAGGTAGGAACTGGGGTGACTGGTAAGTTCTCTGTCTCCAGGGTGAATTCTTCAGCCAAAGCCAACGCACCCCAGTCCCTTTCGATGCCCCAGCCATGATGCTGCCCCAACAATATGACCGCATGGTCTACTTCGCAGTCTCCGAGTACGTCTTCAACACCGCCACCAGGGTCTACCACCAGGCTGGGCTCCTGAATGTCACCATCTCAAATGGGCACGTGAGTAGGGGAGAGAAGGGCTTCAAATGGGACTAGAGATCCTTTGGGTGCTGTAGAACATGCATCAATGGGCTGGGTACAGTTTATCCAACAGAAAAAAAAAGGGTAAAAAAATAAAAGTTCCTCATTTGTAAAATCAATTCCTGTCATCCCCCGACTCCTTGTGGCACAAGGACATGGGATCTGGATTTGACCACCTGGATTTGAATCCTGGTTCTGCTATTTCCTAGCTTTGGACTCAACCTCGCTGGGCTCGGTTTCCTCCTTTTACAAATGGGGATGAGGATGGCATCTCCCCACCCCCCGAGATTCTCACATGGGAGATAAAAGCAATCGACCAGTGCCCACAGGCAGAGAGGCCCTTCTTGGCACAAATGCAGGACCTTGGGCCGCCTGATCACGGGAGGCTAAGCTGATGATTATCAATATTTATTTGATGTTTCTATAGAGGCTAGTTGAAAAGTGGCAGAGGCAGAGCAGAGCAGAGCATTCAAGCTCCAGCCCCCAACTCACCTGCCAGACAGACAAGGCAAGCTGGCTTTGGAAGGCATCATGGTGACCATCTGAAGTCACTTAAACACATCCACTGGGTGCTATGTCACCTACACACTTCATCAAGGTGCCTCTTCCCACCCTGACAGCCATCTCTTGGAAAGGACTTCTGGAAAATGCGATTCCCTCCATCCTGGGATATTTCCCCTGCTGGCTTAGGACCCTTAGAGATCTGCCCCTTGGGGACCTGCCCATCTGGCCTTCCCCACCGCATCTCAGGGTCCCTGAGGTCTCTGCTGTGCTATGAATATCTGCTCCCTCTCTTTAGCTGGCCGGGTTGTTCCCCAATATGCAAGTACAATTGGAGGCATCCCCTGAATCAGAGCCGCACCTGTGGTTCACTCCTGGAAATGTGACCATTGCTCCTGTGATGGACGTCCAAGCCTTCAGCATCCTGCCCAACTCCTCTGACCGCAGGCCACTCTTCCAGCTCAGGGTGGTAAGTTTGGCCCTGATCAGGCAGCAAAGGGTCTTGCTTGCCATGGGTGGAAGTCACTCCCTTAGGTGAGAGGTGACTACAGAGCTGATACCTGCAGAAGGCTATTCATGTCTCCCAGAGCATCAGTGGCCCCCCTTCCTAATAACCAGGCTTCCTAAATCACCATGGCTCACCAACTGCCCGCTGTCAGAGTGGCAAGAAACCCCGAGGCTTCGCCCCAGCCAAGTTGAACATTTTCACTTTCTCACTGTTTCTCTCTCTCTACATATACACATTTTTGAGGCACTAGGGACTGAACACAGGGGCACTCTACTAATGAACCAACCACATCCCAGACCTTTTTTATTTTTTATTTTGAGGCAGAATCTTGTTAAGTTGCTCAGGTAGGTCTCCAACTTGAATCTGCCTGCCTCAGCCTTCCAAGTCTCTAGGATGACAGGTGAGCACCACTACACCCAGATGTTTGCTGTAATCTTTTTACATTTAAAACATCCCCCCATCTTGTTCAGTAGAACTGGAAGTAGAGTATTTATTTTTATAAATAAAAATCATAAAATAATTTTTTTTTTGGTTCTGAGGATTGAACCCAGGAGCACTTAACCACTGGGCCACATCCCCAGACCCTTTTATTTTTATCTTGAGACAGGGTCTTGCTAAGTTGCTTGAGGATCTTGATAAATTGCGGAGCCTCACCTCAAACTTGCAATCTTACTGCCTCAGCCTCTCAACTGTGCAATTATAGGCGGGTGCCACTGCTCCCAGCATATCAAATTGCCTTCTTACAGAAGGTTTAAAGGCAGCATAGTATTTGAGCAACGCTGTCTAAACTGATTTGCAATCTTAACAAAACTCCAGGTCAGTTTTTGTCAGCTGACAAGCAGGAGCCTAAGATTCACATTGAGATTCAAGTTACCCAGAACTGCCAACGCAGTTTTGAAAAAGAAAAATAAAGTTGGGGACTCACACTTTGCTATTTCAAAACTGACTATAAGGCTGTGATAATCAAAGATAAACATAGAAATCAATAGAACAAATTATGAGTATAGCAATAAACTTCATATTTATGGTCAGTTGGTTTTCAACAAGGAGACCAAGACAATTCAAAAGGAATAATAGTTTTTTTTCCCCAATAAATAATGCTGGATATCCACCAGCAAAAGAATGAAATCATACCCCTTTATTACACTATACACAAAAATTAGTTCTAAATGGGTATATACCTAAATATAAGATCTAAAACATAAAACTTAAAAAGAAACACAACTGTTGGGCCTGGAGTTGTGGCTCATGGTAGAGCACTCGCTTAGCACATGTAAGTCTCTGGGTTTGATCCTCAGCACCACATAAAAATAAATAAATAAAATAAAGTTATTGTGTCCACCTACAACTAAAATGTATGTATGTATATGTAAACATATACATACATATATACATTATACACACAAATACACACATATAGCATAAATCTACATGAGCTAGGCAGAATCTTCAAAGATTTAACACTAAAAGCATAAACAACAAAATTAAAAATAGATAAATTGAATTTCATCAAAATTAAGAACTTTTGTGCTTCAAGGGATGCATGAGAAAGTGAAAAGGCAACCCATGAAATGGAAGTATTTGCAAAATATATATTTGATAAGGAATTTGTATCCAGAATATAAGAGTTCTTATAACTCAATAACAAAAAAGAGAACTTCAAAAGGGGAACTTCCAATTCTAAGGAGATAGAATAGATCTCCGTTTCCCCATACCTCCTGCTAAGTTCAACTAAAAACTCTAGACACTGGATACAAAATAAATGTAAGAAGACTCTGTAGAACGGGGAGAGAAGGCAGACGAGCCAGGGATCTCAGGGTCTGGAGGACAACCTGGTAATGAATTCCCTCCTTCAAATATCCCAACCTGGAGCTGAAGAAGTCAACAGCCCAGAAATGCCAACAAGCACAGATAAAAAACTCTCCTCTCTCTAGCCAAACACTAGAAAAAAAAAATGATGCCTTACCCCCAAGCCAGAAAAGGCCAACTGGGAAGCCAGATTTCTAGTTTTCTTTATCTTTCTTTCTTTTTTTTTTATTTTATTTTTTTTTAATTTCCCATTTTTTTTAGAATTCTAGAATTCTTAAGTATAAGAAGGCTGTGATTGCCTAGCAAAGAAAATGTGTGTGTTATATATACTTCATACAGGCATGAGTTATAGTGCCATTGGCTATGAGTTCAATGTTAAGGAATCAATAATACATATGTGTTAAGTAAGGTATCTCTAAACACTCATAAAACAAAGTTATAGATTGATCAGTTAACAAAATGTGACGAGAGACACAAAGGAACTTAATCTTGTATTTCCCCAAAGGGCATTGATTCAGTATTCATTAATCCCATGTTCACAGCAAATACATAGAACTTAACTGCCCCAAATAATAGACTTGACCATAGCTGGAGATTTTAACATCCACTCTCAGCAACTGATAAAGCAACTAGATGGAAAACCAGCTCAGATACAGAGCTCAACACCACCAACCACCAACAGATTTTTTTTTCTAACAGGCTTTTTAAAAACGCTCATTCAGGGCACAATGGTGCACAGGCCTGTAATCCTAGCAGCTCAGGAGGCTGAGGCAGGAGGATCACAAGTTCAAATCCAGCCTCAGCAATTTAGTGAGACCTTCTCAAAATAAAAAATGAAAAGGTTTGGGGTGGTTCAGTGGTTGAACAACCCTGGATTTAATTCCCCAGTAGTAAAAAGAAAAAAAGAACAACACTCATACCATGACTCATAACAGTGAAATACATCCTTTTCAAATGTCTACATCCTAAGACAGACCATATCCTGGCCCATAAAACAAGCCTTGCTGGGCAAAGTGGCACAGGCCTGTAATCCCAGAGGCTCGGGAGGCTGAGGCAGGAGGATCACAAGTTCAAAGTCAACCTCAGCAAAATCGAGGCACTAAGCAACTCAGTGAGACCCTGTCTCTAAATAAAATACAAAATAGGGCTGGGGGTGTGGCTCAGTGATCAAGTACCCCCCCGAGTTCAATCCCCAATACAAACAACAACAGCAAAAAAAGGGCAAAAGTAAAAAATTAAAGAATTCAAAACAGTCATAATCAGTTATATGTAGCTAGAGTAAGCTAATTACCATAATAAAAATAAATTCTAGTGGTCTAACCCATTAAAAAATTTATCTCACATAAAATCAATCAGTCATTTCTAGTTGGCAGATGGCCTTCCACATGGCCATTTAGGGACCCAGGTTCCTTCTGCCTTGTGATTCCTCTCTCCTTTAAAGCTTCATAGTCCCCTCCACACAGTTCAGTAGGTGGAAGATCATAGAGGTCTTTTAATTGACCAGGTCTTGAAGTAACACACATCTTTTATGCGCACCATCCATTGGCTAAAACTTAGTCACACGGTCACACCTAACTGTCTGGGAAGCTGGGAAATGTAGTCCAACTGTGTGCCCAGAAGAAAAGGAAATGGGTCTTGGTGTGCCCAGTCTCTCCACACATGTTGCTCAGGCATTTTTAATATTTCTTGGCTACCATTCAAGCCTATGTGGACCTTGAACACACGTGAGCAGAAGCCAGCCTTCTGTCCTTGGCTGAGACACAATCTGGTTCCCTTTTCTGTCACAAGTCTTTGGGACATCAGTTAGGTTTCAAATGAAGCTGTTCAGTGATGCCACCCAAGCACTCAACCAGGTGTTACAGGTAGGAGTCCCCCCCCCCCTTGGTGAGAAGTGGCCCAGGTGGACAGCTGACCATCCCAGCTGGCACAGGGCTTTGAGGGACTGACCGACTCTATCACCTGGCTCAATGCCATCCCCCGGCAAGCCAATCCTCAGTCTCCAAGATGGGTGCCAGTAAGTGGCGTCTAAATTTCTCCCAGGCTCAGGGACTCCGTGAAAGTCCCTTAGGAGTCTGCTCTGAAGAACTGTCAAACAGACTAAAGTGTCCCTGTCCAAGTTTGGGCTTATTCCCCTTCCCAATGCTTTCATTAAAATGGAGACATGTGCCAGTAACCGAGGCACCCGCCTGTAATCCCAGCAGCTCAGGAGGCTGAAGCAAGAGGATCATAAGTTCAAGGTCAGCCTGGGCAAGTAAAAGGGAGAATGAAGCCTCAGCTCTCCCTTTTCTGTGCCAGCTGTGGGGCCACCACACACCACGCACAATCCTGGGTGGCTGCTTTTGCCCATTCCTTCCATATGGCCACATGGCCTGGGGTTTCTTGGATCAGGAACAAACAAGGTGCCTAAGTGGTCTTTTGCTTTTGTAGAAAACCAACTTCTCCATCTCCATCAGCGTGAACTCCGATAGGATCGTTGGCTCAGTGTCCCCAGAAAGGTAAGACAGCAGGAGTGGGGAGAGGAAGGAGGGGGGACAGTGACATGCCGACAGTGACCATAACAGCCAGCATGGTTCACTCAGGACTGAAGGTGACCCATGGGGGCAGCTCTCCACCAGATCTGAGTGCCCTCTAGAAAAGGCACAGTGACAATGCCTCAGGCAGAAAGCTGGAAGGGGGGAGAATCGCCAGGTGTCTCCAGATGCCTGTCGCTCCAGGCTCCTCCTGCCCGCCCCGCAGGCTTCAGAGGAGCTGGAATTTCTGCAAAGGAATAGTGTAGGTCAAGATGGAGGGTAGAGCTTGAAGCTGTGTTCACAAGGACTTTACCTCTGAGGAAAAGTGTCCACTGTCACAAAGCGGAGATTTTGGATGGAAAATTGAAGCGCCCCAAGCCACTGCCCACTGCTCCCCTGCCCAGATTCCCAATCCATAAGCATAAGGTTTAGATGGTGGATCAATGCAGAAAGAGTTCAGGCTTTGGGCAGCAGAGATTATACCGCCTCCTGGGGGTTGGCACCTGTCCTCTATACCTCATGTCCTCTGTGCCAAGCCCCACATCTTTGTATTTTTGTTTTTGTGTTTTTTGTTTTTGTTTTTGTTTTTTGTTTTTTTTTTTTGGTACTGGGGATTGAACCCAGGGGTGTTTTAACACTGAGCCAAGTCCCCAGCCCTTTTTATTTTTTTAAAATTTCATGATAGGGTTTCATTAAGTTGCTTAGGGCTTCACTAAGCTGCTGAGGCTGGCTTTGAACTGTGATCCTCCTGCTGCAGCCTCCAAAGTTGCTGGGATTACAGGTGTGCAAGCCCCATGTCTTGTCTGCTCTGGGTGATGCTCCTTGCTAGATGTGCTTGGGCTGATAAAATGCCCTGGCCCCATTAAAATGAACGTCTTAGGATGCTTTAAAAAGAGAAGCTAATAGCCGGGCGCAATGGCACATGCCTGTAATCCCAGTGGCTTGGGAAGCTGAGGCAGGGGATCACAAGTTCAAAAGCCAGCCTCAGCAAAAGTGAGGTGCTAAGCAACTCAGTGAGTCCCTGTCTCTAAATAAAATACAAAATAGGGCTGGGGATGTGGCTCAGTGGTTGAGTGGTTGAGTTCAGTCCCTAATAACCCCTTTCCCCCAAAAAAAGAGAGAGAGAGAGAAGTTAATGGTGACCCTTTGGGGCAGTGGGAAAGCTGGTAGGGACAGATGGACTTCTGGAGTTCCCTAGTTTGCACGTAGGCATAGACCTCCTGGTTGGGGGTCTCAGGACAGCCAAAGACTTTAGCCCTCGTGAATGAAGATTCGAAACGTGAGAAATCTCTAGGGAGTTTTTAATTAAAGAGACAAGATTCTAATTACCTTTAAACCAGCTCCAGGACGGCTCCTCCTAGCTCCAGCCTCCAGCCACCTATTGTGGTAGCGAGGTTTACTGAAGAGGCTAGCGAGAGACACAGCGAACACGCCAGGGAGTGGACTTTTATTGGGGAACAAAAAATTCTGGGGAAAATCCCATCCAATGAAGATTAAGGGGACAGCATCCCAAGGTCAGGGGCGACAATTGGGTCTTCAGGTAGTGGCCACACATGCCTCTGCACGGACAGGCCGTCGGACCTGAGAAGGGTGGGGAAAGCTCTGGACACAAGATATGCCTAAGCGCCTCTCACCCAGCCAGGGAGGACACTCAAATCACGTGCGAGGATGGCCTCCCACAAAGGTCTGGAATGAGGATTTTTCCAAGGAATTCTAAAAGACCATTCTACCCCATGATAGAAAGCAGGGAGATCCATCCAGGGCTATTGGAATTCCTGAACAAGGGAACCAGAGCAAGAGGAGAGCCCAGCAGGAGGAAAATCAGTGGAGACCTGACTTCTACAGTGACGGGGATCAGGTGCCCCTAGCCACTGTCTTCCTTCACTCCTGCACCAGTTGAGGGGCCTTGCTTCCCTCTTTACGTCATGTTTCCATCTAATATAAATCACTGCCCACTTTTACATTATAAAAATAATGCATTCTCATACAAGAAAAGTTGGAAAAACCTAAGTGTAAAAACAAAATCACCCCTAAACTTGCCACACAGAGACTAGCTCTGCTCATAAGTTTGTTTTCTTCCAGCCTTTTTAAAAAAAATTTTTTTTTGTAATTGTAGATGGCCAGAATACCTTTATTTTGTTTATTTTTATGTGCCTCACACAGGCTAGGCAAGCGCTCTGCCACTGAGCTACGGCCCCAGCCCTCTTCCAGCCCTTTTTCAAGTACATTCCTTATACAATTGGAAACACTGAGTGGAATGTTTTATATTCCACTTTTTCCATATAATTTTTTTTTAATACTGGAGACTTGAGCCCAGGGGAGCTTAACCCCTAAGCACATCCCCAGACCTTTTTATTTTTTATTTTGAAAAAAGGTCTCACTAAGTTGCTTAAGGCCTCGCTAAGTTGCTGAGGCTGGCCTGGAACTTGCCTTCCTCCTGCCTCAGCCTACCGGGTCACTGGGATGACAGGAATGTATCACCACACTCACTTCCACTTAATATTTATTCCATCATAATTTCCTTATTAAAATGCTCTGCAAACATTCTTTTTAACAATGGCACTTCCTCTCAGATCACAATGCATACCTTAACCCACAAGGGACACACTTCGAGGAACTTCGGGCTACCCAATCTCCAGGCAACAGGCCTTTGCCTCCAAACACACTGCAGATTTCACTGGGGTGACAAGAAAACGGGAGCCATGGCCCAGTGACCCACACTTGTCTCTTTCTCTACACAGTGAGCTGAAACTCGAATTGAAACACTCCAACATCGGTTCTGTCGACGTGAGTTACTTTTCATCAGTGTCTCTCAATCGTCTTTGCCAAGACAGGTCCATTAGGCTCCAGGAGATGCAACCAAGTCCCAGACAGAGATGCCAGGAGGAATGAGATCCCATATCTGAAAGTTTACCTTATACAAAGGGCTCCATCTGAGGGCTAAAGAGCAACAGGCTCTAACAGCGAGTTTTGGAGTAAGATACAGGCTGTGCCACCTGCTAGCTAGGTGATCATGGACAAGGTGCTTAATCTTTCTGAGTCTCAGTTTCTTTTACTGAAAATGAGATGAATGGCATCTACCATAAATGGGGCCTGTCACATGAAATGAGGCTGTGTGTTACGTAAAACACTTTGACCCAGTGCCTCAGACACAGTAAGCTCTTGACTTTGTTCACAATTGGAATATGAATGGCTCAGCATCACAATGCCTTATTCAAACCCCTGAGGACGGATGGGTTTAGGGATTGAGAATATCTGAGACATAATACAGTGCATGCACCCTTTGACTTCCCCAGCAAGACCAGGGGAAACTCTATAATCAAACAGTGATATTTTTGCAACAAAACCTAACAATGTTCACATAAAGTGGCATAAAGAAACACGAAATAGTACTCACATCATGGTGCGGCATTCACTGGGCCTGCATGCTCTTACAGAAAGTAAATGCAGAGACTAGGGTTTGCATTGTGAGCAAGGGGCTGTTTGGAAGAGTGGTAGTCAGTCAGCATCTGTGCCTTAAATGGGGTGATGTCCATTTTTCCAGGGGTGGGACCAAATGTTCCTCCCTTGATCCTCCCTTGACTTTTCTTTCTTTGTGTCCGTTTGTTCTGGCCCCATCTGTGCTCCAGGTGGAGGAGATGGAAACCATCTTCAACCTCTTTGCACGTGAGGTCATCTACCCCTCTATCAATGGTAAGAAGAGCTGCCACCACCTGCACCAGAGTACAAAGGCTGGGTTCTCGCCTCCCCACAGGATTCCTGGTTCATTTGTTCAGCAAGTTGAGCCTCTCTTCTGTGCCACCTGGGATGCTGGCAATCCACGACCCATGCCCCATAGTTCCCACCTTGTTAAGAAGGCAGATGTGTAACAGGTGCCTATAGAAGGGAGCTCAGGGAACCACAAGAGCTGGGAGAGAGCATGGACTTAGAGATCAGGCAGAGCTCCCTAGACATGAGGGATAAGCTGTCTCAAAGCTCAGGAGTTAAGCCAGGTACAGTGATGCACGCTTGTAATCCCAGCAACTCAGGAGGTCAAGTCAGGAGGATAGCAAGTTCAAGGCCAACCTCAGCCACTTAGACCCTATCTCAAAATAAAAAAAAATAGGGTTGGGGTTGTATCTCAGTGGTAAAGCACTTCTGGGTGCAATTCCCAATTAAAAAAAAAAAAAGACATAGGAGTGAGGCCAAAGGAGTAACATAATAGTTGACCCCTAGCAGGACACCTGGAGTTAGCATCCCCAGGTCCCAAGCCAGGGGACCTTGCTGGAGGTAGTACTTGTCCAGCGGCTGCCTAAGAATTAGCAGACCTCCTACCCTTCCCTCTCCAGTTGGCCTCACCATCTACATCTGTGACCAAGAGATAAGAGCAAAACAAAGATCTGAGAGAGGGAGAGGCAGAGTGTGGCCCTCAGGGATGAGTCCCTAGACATGAACACTGCACACCCAGGCCTAATCACTTCAGGTGGGGGTGAGGTTGGGCTCTCAAATGGGTTGATAGAGGCCCAAGAAGCTGTCCACATCCATCCCCTCCTGAAGAGGCTGCATTTTCCAGGCCTCTACGTCCCCACCCTAAACCAGCTTTGGACCCAGTAGCCAACAGCTGACTCATGCTTTCTATCGCCTCTCGCTGTTTATTTTCCAGCCCAGCTCAAAAAGGGATTTCCACTCCCAGTTCCAAAGAACATCTTCCTCAACAGTGTGGAGCTCCAGATTCACGAGGTGAGAAGTGGGATCTGGGGGGGCTCTAAGCCCTGCTGGGAGGCTGCTTCAGGGGCTGGTGGAGACGGAAGCAAGCCCTGACCCCCACATACAACCTGGACCTCATTTTTAAGAAAAAATAATAATCTGTTTCAAATGTTGGAGTCTAAATAGCATCTGTAATCTGGACTCTTGACTTCATGTTCCAAAACTCACTTCTCAACAATCCGACAGTCACTGAGCATCTGTGACTGCAGGGCACTTCAGCCGTGCACAGCAGGAACATGAGAAAAGGGTCAGATGAGATGCCACTTCTGGGTTGATGAGGGGCCATCTGAACAGGCCTAGAATCTCATTGGTGGTGCGTGGGTCTCCCTGGGTCACTGACCAGCCTTCCCATCCACAGAAGCAGGGGATGGTGTGGAGAAAAATAGAGCATGCCTTCTAGGTGGAAGGAACTTAGCAGGGGCAGAGGCAGCACAACCAGAGCACTTTCATAGGCCCAGAGGTACTGTGTGCCACTGTCTTTGCTGTTCACAGTGGGGTTTTTTGGCGGTGGTGATAGAGGGAGTTTGTTTGTTTTTTTTTTTTAAAGAGAGAGAGAGAGAGAGAGAGAGAGAGAATTTTAATATTTATTTTTTAGTTATCGGCGGACACAACATCTTTGTTTTGTATGTGGTGCTGAGGATGGAACCCGGGCTGCACGCATGCCAGACGAGCGCGCTACCGCTTGAGCCACATCCCCAGCCCCATAGAGGGAGTTCTTGAGATTTAACTCAGAGGCACTTTACCACCGCGCTATACTCCGGGGCTTTTTTTTTTTTTTTTTAATTTGAGACAGGGTCTCACTAAATTGCTGAGGCTAGCCTTGAACTTGCGATCCTCCTGTCTCAGCCTTCTGAGCTGCTGGGATTACAGGCGTGCACCACTACACCCAGCCACAATATATTCTTTTTTTTTTTTTAATGTTTTTATAGTTGTAGATGGGCAACATGCCTTTATTTATTTTTATGCGGTGCTAAGGATTGAACCCAGTGCCTCACACATGCTAGGCAAGCGCTTTGTCACTGAGCCACAACCCCAGCCCCACACAATATATTCCAAGGAAATCCTGGACAGCATTTTCCTGGAATTGAGTATCACAGGCAACAATCAATTGTGACTTATTTTTCTGGGGGCACAAATTTTAGAGAAGGAAGGTGACATTTGTGGGTATCTGACAGAAATGAGTAACTTGGGAGATGCAAATAAATTCCTGGGGACAGGCAGTTAATAGGGACAATTTGTTGCGAAGGTCCCTAAGGCTTCTGGTTGATGTAAGAACTGGCCTACCCCACTCAACCTTCTCTTCCAGAAGCGCATGTGTGGCTCGGCAAGTGACCTTTCTTGACTGTCCTTTTTGCCTTCTCTCTAGAACTTCTTGCTTTTAGGGGCCAACATCAATTAGACTGTGGCTAGAGGAGTGACCATATCACAGCCGGACCTGCCCTTGACCCAGTGGAGGCTCAAAGGCTGCAGCTACTCTCCCCATGAGCTCCTGCTGCCCTACTGACAGTTGTCACCAGAGAACCTATGACATCTGAAGACACATCTGACCTGGAGACACCTTCCCAACTTTCCTCCTCCTTTTTCTCCTTCCCCCGCCCCCAGGTGTTTTCTTTGGATCCCCTGCTTTACCCTGGGGAGCTCAACCTGACTCCATACTAGTCTACACTAGAATCTACTTCCATTAAGGAAAAAAGCACCAGCAGTGGCCAGGCACCAAGCAGCCCAAATTAAACACAGAGCAACTAAGTTGTATGAGTCATTGGATGTTGTGGTTAAGAGATCAAGAGTCAGATGGACATGTGCTCAAAGCCTCATTTTGCTCCTTACTGGGTGATACTCTGAGGTGGGACCACCGCCAAGCATCCAGCCTCTAGATAGGGCACACATTTGTTCAACAAACCTCGATTTCAATTTTCTGATCATTTATCCACACTGGCCTCTTGTCTCTGCACTTGATGCTGGGGAGGGTGCGAAGGTCAAAGAGTGAACACAAAAACACATGGTTTCTGCCTTCATTAAGCTTATAGCCCAAAACAAAAGCCCAGCAAACTTTCCTGCAAAGAGCAACAGATAGTCAATATTTTAGGCCTATATCATCTCTGTTCCAACTTACCTCTGCCATTGCAGAAAATATCCAGACAAGGAGTGTCACTATAAATGTCACAAGAACAAGCAATGGTCCAGGCGTGGTGGTACACTGCCTGTAATCCCAGCAGCTGGGGAGGCTGAAGCAGGAGGATCATGAATTCAAAGGCTCTTTTAGCACTTGGCAAGGCCCTAACAACTCAGGGAGACCCTGTCTCTACACAAAATATTTAAAATAGGTTGGGGATTTAGCTTAATGGTTAAGCACTCCTGGATTAAATCCCTGGTACCAAAAAAAGAGCAGTGGGCCAGGTTTGACCTGTAGGCCAGTTTGCCAATCCCTGGTCTAAAAGAACAAACCACCAAGAGTTGACACTGAAAGCAAGCCTGATTTTTATTGGGAAAACTTCTAACAAACAATCACTTCTGTTGAGGCAAGTGGCTGAAACCCAAAAGCAACACTGGCAGGAATATTTTTTAAGGCATGACCAGTTAACAGTTCATAGCCATATCACACCTTCCTGTTGGATATCAAACCTTCAAGACTCTCTCACGCTTCTGCAAATGGACAACATGCAATTGTCCCTAACAATGGGATAGTGCATGAGGCAAGCACTAAGCTATATTCCCCACCCCCTTGGTTTTGTCTATTCCAGGATGGATCAAAGATTTCTTGTCAGGAAGCCACAGCTTTCAATCCCCAGTACTAAAATAAGACACAGCTTTAATGACATTTGTAGTTCATCTTAGATCAAGTTTGTCCCTGAGGTCTTATAGATCAAGTTTGTCCCTGAGGTCTTATCGGACCAGCTTTATCTTATTATTTAGGCCTTTCATTTGAGGCCATTTTCTAGAAATGTTAACAAATCTTTACAAGGAAGAATCCATCCTTCTGTCCTGACCCTTAGAATGTTTTCTCTATGCCCAGATCTGACCCTCTGTAAAAGGGGGATGAGTTGATACAAGGACTTGGTTAATGCATCATCTCTTTGCTGCAATTACCCACTAGCCACATCAGTCCTCCACCTGCCCATCCTGTTCCAATAGTGGCTGCCCACGTTCACACTACTCACACCCTTACACCACAGCTTCTCACGCTAACACCATGCAGTTTTTGTCCATGGGAGGCTGGCCAACTAGTTCATTTACCTACTTTTCTAGTTTTAGCAATGAGGTCCCACTTCCTGCCTAAGCCCTCAATTTATGGACACCGAGGTCTTCCTAATACCAACCACCCTTTCAAACTCCTGGCTTGACTATCCTGAAGTGTTTATGGCCTGGATGCGAAATGTCCTCCAAAGACTCATGTGCTAGACTTGTTAACAAGGACAGCAATGTTAAAATCCCTTTTGGAAAGGGACTGGATGGTTCCTCATCAGTGAAACCCACTGATGGATTAATAATTTGATGCCATCACAGGGAGCCAGTGATTAGTTGGAGGAAGGTTACTAGAACGATTTGTTTCCCGCTTATGCCTCCATCCTGTGCTTTTGGGCTGCTGCCATGAGCTAAGCAGTTTTCCTCAGCCACACCTTTCATCACATCCTGCCTCATCTAAGGTCCAAAGCAATGAAGCCAGCAACCACGGACTAAAATCTGACAGTTGAGACAAAATCAATCTTTCCTCCCATAATCTGTACACACCAGGTATTTTTTCATAGTGACAAAAAGCTAGCACAGCCCTCAGCTCACAATCCCTGAATGTGAGCAGCAGTCAGTCACTTCCTAGTCCTGACTATACATCTCACATACCCTGCCTCCATATCCAGCCTCCTACTTAGGTTGTTACTAATTTAAGAGGCAGGCAGAGGGGACAGGGTTTGTTGCTCAGTGGTAGAGCACTTGTCTAGATTGTGTGAGGCACGGGGTTCAATTCTCAGCACTGCACATAAATAAATGAGTGAAATAATTAAGGCCCATCAACATTAAAAAAAAAGGAAATATTTATTGAATGGGGGATAGGGGGACAGGAAGAAACACAAAGACCAAGGGAAAGTCCAGAGCCAGCCACCACAGCATATGCCAGTGACTCAACTCAGGAGGCGGAGGCAAGAGGATGGCAAACTCAAGGCCAGCCTGTTCAACTTAGAGCCGATGACTTTAAAAAAAAAAGTTACTGCAAATACAGGCAGACAGATGGAGCTGGGCTTTCCTGTCCATGGCCCTCGTTTCTCTGCATACAGCTGGCAGTGAAGCTTCATAGGATGACATTGCTCTTAATTCTCTGCCCCTCCGGTGTCCATGAACAGCACCCACCAAGATCTAAAAGAAAAGGCTGTGAGATAGTGGTCTGGGGTTTCATTTGCCCTCAGCTTCTGACAGTGGCTTCCAGGGCCCCCGGCATTAACTTAACCACAATGAGAAGTATCAGCACACCCAAATCCCAATCATCCCAAGGGCCATGGACTTCCTGGCCTGGGAATATCCTTCAATAGTCTCTGCTTCTACAGGTATGAGACCTAGACAGTTGAGGAAGCAGAAAAGTAGTAAGTTTGGCACCATCTTCTCCTGTCCAAACTGACACCACTGAGGGACTCCCAATCAGCAGGTTCTTGTTTATAAAACAAGAATTAAAAAACAAAAATACCTTGGAAGCTCAGTTTTTACAGTGTCTTGACAGGAGTAATATCCATGTATTTGTGCACCAACTGTCAATTTGTTGCTTATCAATGTATAACACACTCAGTTATTCCCCCTCTGGGCACACACCCGAAGATCAATCACTTCATAAAGACAGAGGAATGCCCATGTTCACCACAGCACCCTTCCCCATGTCCAAGACATAGACACAACATGAACCCAAAGAGATCAAGAAAATGATATATATGTCTACACATACTGAGACAGAGTAAGGTAACAGAATATTATTCAGCCTTAAAAAAAAGTTCTGTGTGACAGATGTTAATCTGCTTTACTAGGATAACCACTTTATTATTTTACAACATGTTACAGACCTCAGTGATTGGAACAGATCAGGGGAAGGAGAGAGGTGGTGGGGGCCTGTGTCTACCGTCTGGTGTGTAAGGGTTGAGTTCATCTATCTGTCCATATTGTGTTTTGCCATCCTTGATTACTACTGTAGTCCCTGCCCCCTTAATTGAAGACCAGTGGGAAAATCCACACCTGATGGACCGACCTTGGGCCCTCTTTAGGGCAAGGTCTATGGGTAGACTAAAATAAGGTAAGTTTCATCAAAGAAATTCCTCAAATGGGAGAAAATGAGACAAATGCCTCAACCTCAGGCAGGCTGCCTTATCCAAGGGCATTTTCCTGTGACTGCTCAATGGAAAGAACTCTATCCTTATAGGAACTTGCCTCCTTTTTGTCCCAAAGTAGATTGTGACAAGACATATAGAGACATAGGTTCAATTCCCAGTACATGAGAAGGGTATGATGAGCAAGACCACAGTGACCAGTGACCAGAGCTGGGGCTGAGGACAAGAAGCATGAGGCAAAGATAGAGGAGAAATGACCTCTATTGTGATTGCAAAATCAGCCTATGAACAAAGTCCCCCGGGGCAGAGCCCCACCTTGATTCCCTTTCTGTAAGGCCCCAGCACCAGGTATCAGGAGGTAAGAGAGTGAGAGACAGTATATGTACAAAAGCTCCAGAGTTTGAAAGGGACAAATGCAGACCCTCCAAACACGGGGAAATGCTTTCAGCAATTCCTCTCCCTGCACTATCAATGACCAGGGCACGGGTAGCCCATGATCACTTTCGAATACAGGGGCAAAAAAAGACAGGCCAGGGCCAACAGCTGAGGAAAGGGCCCTGGCCAGGCTGAGAGACATAGTGACTCGGAAAAGGGACACAGTTTACTGGTTGTAACTGCAGCAGCTGCCCCTGGTTCTCAAAGGTACTTGGGGGTTCATAAGCTTTGGCCTAACAATGAGATGGAAGTCAAATTTTGGGAATAATGTTGAATTCATTAGGTCTGGAACTGAGTCATAAAAATTATCCCACCAAGGTTCAGAAAAAAACACCAGCTAACTTTCTGATTTCCCAAAGCATTTTAACAAGCTACTGCAGAACCAAGAAGGATGAGGGCTACATAGGTCCTTGCAGAGCTCCTGGAAACCAAGGGGAGCTCTATAATACCTACTGTGTTTAACAAAAGCTTCTTCTGCTTCTCAGAATGGGAGGAGAGTTTGGGGAGCATGTCCCTGCAGGCCACAGTGAGGAAGCAAACAAAAGGAAGCAGCCTTTGCCTTGGTCTTGAAGCTGAACATCACTGTTCTCTCTGGAGAAGCATCCAGGATCCACACCTCAGAGCATCATAGCCCAGCCTCCCCTTTTTTTCTTTTTCAGCCTCCTCTTAATGACAGGGGGCTGCTAGGCAGAGGACAGCTGACAATCCTGCAGGGACAAGAAGCCACACACATCATTTATCAGTCAATCACCCAAGACGTTCACTGCGAATTAAAAAACCCATCTCTCATGAGGTGGTTAGTACAAGCCTGTAATTCCAGCAACTTGGGAACTAAGGCAGGAAGATCCGATTGACATCAGCTTCAACAATTCAGCAAGATCCTCATTTCAAAATAAAAATAAATCTCAGTGGGGATGGAAGGGGCTAAAAGGTGACAAACAGACTTCTCGTCGCTCTCCACTTCTTTCTTCATTTTTTTCCCCTTCTCTGGCCTCATGCTAGGCATGCTCCATTATTGAGCGCGACACCCCCAGCCCTTTTTGATTCTGAGACAGTTTCACACTAAGTTGCTGAGGCTAGCCTCGACTTGTGATCCTCCTTCAGTCTCTCAAGTCACTGGGATTACAGGCATGCACTACCACACCCAGCTCATTTTTTAAAAAATTTTTATACTTTTCTTCATTCTTTTCTGGGGGGGATGGGCACTGGGGACTGAACTGCTACTGAGCCAAATCCCTAGCCCCATTTTGTATTTTATTTAGACACAGGGTATCATTGAGTTGCTTAGCACCTCACCACTGCTGAGGCTGGCTTTGAACTTGGGATTCTCCTGTTTTAGCCTCCCCAGCCATTGGGATTACAGGCATGCACCACTGAGCCCAGCTCATTCTTTATCTTACAATTTCACCCATTCCTCCAGGGTCAGCCCGAGAACCAGGCATTCTAAGATGAGCCCCAAAGGCCAGGACAAATGGCAGAAGAATAATAAGCACAGAACAGTGGCCAATGAGTCATGCCAATGTATACTTCATAGGGACACGGAGCAGGCAAAACCTAGAGGAGCCATGTAGACTGGGAAGTGAGGTGGTGTACTGAGCTGGACACCCTACCACTATGAGCACTCACCTTTTCCTTCCTCTTATTAGTTCACACTTAGGAATCTCTATTAAAGGACAACATGTACTAATACCCTATCTCAGCCCTAACTTAGGCACATACAACCCTGCACTCGCCACCTCACAACACTGGATTCTGTTCTGGGCAACCCTTCCACATATAATCCACACATGACATCCCCAGCCAGATATCATGAAGCACCCAGAAACAACTATAAGGGTTGGCAAAAGAAAAACTGGAGTGTGGGAAAACTACAGGGTTTGGAAGGGATGGGTGGACCCTCCAAACACGGGGAAAATGTCTTCCAGCCATTCCTGTCCCTGCACTATCAATGACCAGGGCACAAGCAGCCCATGATCACTTTCGAATGCAGGACCAAAGAAAGATAAGGAAGGGCCAAGGACAGGAAACTAATGCCAGGGGCCTAGTCCAAGACAAAGAGCACAGGAATCCTGCAGCTGCAATCTAACATACAAAACCCCATAAAACTGCCAAGGTGAAACAGAGGAGATACTTCCAACAAAAAACACTAGAAAAACCTACAGGCCAGAGATCAGGCTCACATGGACATGTCCATAAGACCTATTTATTACATCTTTTGTTTTCCATACCAGGAAACTGAGGTTCAAAATAGGTCAGACCAGCCCCTGGCTGGCATCTGGGAACCTGGGTCTCGGCATGTTCCCATCTCAGCAGTGAACTGATCAGGGTGGCTCACCAAGCCCAGACTGCAAACAGTGTGGTTTAGACCCAGCACTTACTTTCCTCCTGGGAGCCTGGACTTTTACTGCATGCCAGGCAGATGGTATTCACATGACCAGACTTCAGTTCAAGCCCTGGGCTCAAGTCTCTATTGGGCTTCTCTGAGCAGAAACACAGCAAACATGGGGAGGCCTACCCACTGCTGGGGAAGAATGGGTTCCCTGCAAGGGATGAGGGATGGAAACAGCCTTAAAAAGCCTGCAGACTCCTCCTGACCCCACCTTTGTCCTTTTATCCTTTAACATTTGGCTGTATATCCTCTGCTGCTATGATAAATCTTAACCATCGAGTACAACTAGAAAGAAACTAGCCAGACATGGTAGCAAAAAAGGATTTAAGAAGCAGGTATGGATGGGGTGGTGGCACATACCTGTAATCCCAGTGACTTCGGAGATGCTGGCAGGAGGACTCAAAGTTCCGAGGCCAATCTGGGCAATCTATCAAGGCCCCATCTGAAAATTTAAAGATAGAATAAAATGGGCTGGGGATATAGCTGAGTGACAAAATGGTTCATCGCCAGTGCCTTAATAAAAAGCACCAGAAGGTTTGAGTGGCTCTGATGCCCAATTCCACCACTTCTCACCATGACTTGCCACTGCTGCACTACAGAAGGGCTCCAGAGCTCTGCAACCTCAAGAACCACCTGCTGCGCACAGCCTCCAAAGGCATGCAAAGGGCCAAATGTGATCCAGGTTCCTCAATAAAGGTCAATCCTTTATCATCCTTGCCTCCTCCTTCATCACCAGGGAACAGGAACATGACTTTAAGGGGTGCAGAAAGTCACTCTCCAGAGAATGAACCAGAGATGCTTATCTCAGCACCTGTGGTCTGACCTTCTTTTGTATGAAAACACCTATGGCCAAGCCTCTGTACACATTTTGGCACACAAATGTTGACTAAACACTTATGACCATCACCTAAATAGCCAAGATTTATTATAGGAACAAGACAAGCAGCTTACTTCTAGGAAAGGGGCAGGAGATCTTAATCTAAATCAGTGTTATCTCTTGTGCCAACTGTTACTAAGGGCTCTGTTCAAAAAGGTGTTGAGTGTGCTGTGTTTCTCTAGCAGCATCTGGGCAACCTGGAAGAGGTGATGGTGCAGGGGGGCTGTATTAGTATGGGCTGCTGCATAAATCCCTCAAATTATATTTTGCTTTGCCCACCCTGGATCTTTGCCACCTTACCCACAGCTGGAGGAAGAGCCTTTCCAAAGAACCTTTCCCAAGGCCACAAGAGGCCAGGACCTACAGAAGTAGACCACATGTAGAATTCTTCCAGTGGGACAAAAAAAAAAAAAACAAAACCTTAATCGTACCCTGAACCTCCACACATCCATACTCAGCATCTCCTCCCTGCCAACACTCCACGAGGTAATGAACCCCATCTCCCTTACAGTAGACAGACTCCCCCTTTTTCATTTGCCCTACCCTGACAGAACACTGACCCTCTAGCATTCAGAGCAAAGCAAGATACAGCGGAAGATACTGCCCTCAGGATCACCTCAGAGTAAAGAGACAAGCAAAGCACCAACTTCCATCCAGTCTGATTAACTCTATTGGGGGGAGGCTGAGGATACAGGCAGAGAACACTTCTGGCAGAAGGTGATGGCCACTGGCAAGACTCCACACCTAACCCACTACTCCTGGGAGTCAAGTCCAAGCACCCACATTCTTCCCTCATGTAACACAACAACCTGCACCAACTTCCATCCAGTCTGATTAGCTCTATGGGGGGGTGGGGGCCTGAGGATACAGGTAGAGAACACTTCTGGCAGAAGATGATGGCCACTGGCAAGACTCCACACCTAACCCACTACTCCTGGGAGTCAAGTCCAAGCACCCACATTCTTCCCTCATGTACATAACAACCTGCCCTGGGCCAGGGAAAAGAGCCAATGCATTCAATTAGATGATGCCACCATCCCACCATCAAAAAGGGGGACAGAGGTGTGGGAAAGCTCCAGGGTTTGGCAAGGACAGAAGTGGACCCTCCAAACACGGGGATACGCTTTCAGTGGTTCCTCTCCCTGCACTACCAATGACCAGGACACAGGCAGCCCATGATCACTTTCGAATACAGGGGCAGAAAAGGGCAGAGAAGGTGAGAAAGGAGGCTGTGGCCACCATCTTGGGAAATGACCTCAACTGGAAAGAGACCAGCAACAAGAAAATGCTCACATTTGCAGTAGTAATCCCAGAAGTTGCTTCTGACTCTGATATCAGACACATAATCCCTATCTTTCTTATTTGGAGGGTCTTCTGTTTGACTCTTGTGGTTGGCTGGTACGGGTTAAATTTATGCATGCAGGATAAGATGACAACTGTTAGGACTGTGCTCTGCTGTGCTGCTGTCCCAGCCCAGGCCATTTTCCATGTGTTTGACACTGGTCTCCAGTTTAGCAAGCCCTGTGCCCTTTGCTTCTTCCCCTGCATTCAAAGTGATTACAGGCTGCCTGTGTATTGATCTTCGGTAATATAGGAAGAGTCTCAAGGTGTGCTCATATGCAGAGGGTCCACTTTTTTCCCTTCCAGAAGCCATAGCCTTAGTGGGATAGTGGCAATTACTTGAGCCTGTGCTAGAGCTTTTGGTGCATAACCACCAGAGACTGTGCTTCCCCAGCTGTTTTCCTGTTGGTGAATATCATGGTTTCTTAGCTTTTGTAAGCAGTGCCAAGTGGGCTGTGTCCTGAGGGAGTGCCATGTGATTGCTGTGAGAGAAAGGTAAACAGGTAGGTAGGTGTCTATCTGTCCTCTGCAAGAGCAGGGATTGTGAAGTTCTAGGTAGGTGGTGCCCTACCTGGTTCTCTGGAATGAATGTTCTCTGCAGGCTTCGAGGCTGGCAGTGTTTAGGTGGTCTGGAGCAGGGAATGAGAACGCCAGGTCACATTGCTTCCTTTTCTCTGAGCTCTTTTCCCTTGTCTAGCAGGACCTTCTTCCTCCTCTGTAGAGCTGCTGCAGAGAAGGTACTTTCAGAACTTGATTGGGGTCTGGGAGTCCCTAGGTGAGATGTTGGGAGGAAAGCAGCAGTGTGTTGGGATGGACAGACCTGTGTTTAAATTAATTTCCAGTGACCAGCTCTGGACATCAGCGTGCCTCAGTGGAAATACTGTCAGATTTTCAATTCAGTACCACTCATACCCAGTCTCTGGCTTGCAGTCTTATAATTTCTACCAGTCTTCCTGTCACTTCTGAGAAGTGGAGGGCAAAAGGGGGCCCACACCTGTGTTGTGTCTGTTGACACCTCAGACACAACACAGGTATGCCAGAAGCCAGGTGCAAGGAGGCATCTAAAATTGGCAAGTAGGATCATTTTAAAAAGTCAGGAGTGGTGACGCATGCCTGTATCCCAGCAGCTCAGGAATCTGAGGCAGGAGGATCTCAAGTTCAAAATCAGTCTCAGCAACTTAATAATGAGATCAAGTCTCTAAATAAAACATAAGGGCTGAGGATGTGGCTCAAGGGTTAAACTCCAGTTCATGCCCCAGAACAAAAAAAGAACAACAGTGAACCCTTGAGTGTGGACAATCCACATTCAGCAATTCTTCTCCCTGCACCATAAAAGAAAGGCACAGGGAACCCCAAATCAGATACAGGGGCAGAAAATGGCAGGTGAGCCCAAAGAGAAGCCCACATTAGGATATTAGCTCACACAAACAGTCCCAGGAGGAGAAAGCAACCCATCCAAGCCCAGGATCCATGGAGCAAAAAATTAAACAATTCTACCCACCCCCATCAAAAAAGCAGGGAAAGTTTACTTTCCATCAAAATGCTTAAAACTAATCACTCAAAGCACAAAATTAGTTGTCTGCATTTAGGCATGCCTGAGGGCTCAAAAACAAGAGCAGTCAGAGGCTCTCTGCCCTCATGGAACTTTGGCAGCTTCCCTACTTAACAGAAAGTAAAGCTCAGGAAAATGAGGAAATTTAGCCAAGATCTGACTTTCTACTCCTCAAATTCAGCCTCCTCCCTTACCCCAGGCTTCACTCCGCACAGGGGCTTTGCCACGCAGTTCTCGGAACACCACAGAGCTCTACCACCTTCCCTTCTGCTAGTGTCCACAGAAGGCAATCCAGGAGTCACCCCTGGTTTCTAGTGCCCATGAATAGCAGTACTTACCCGGGGACATCCTCCCCCTGCAGGCTGAACGCCCCCGAGGGAATCCAGAGAGAAGAGGGCGCTGGCTGCTGCAGAACCAGCAAGAAACATCCAGGAGAGAGCTTTCATGTCTGCAGGAGAGGCGTTCACAGCGAGGCCTAGGCAGAAAAAAAACACAGGAAAGGGCTTTTGGTGCACAGCAAGGACTTAAACCTCCACCAACCAGTGTCCAAAATGGGTTTTAGGTCTAGCCTTAAAAAGCGGCCGAGGGGAACGTGAGCCAACGTTCCTACGACGTGGCACAAAGACTGAGCCTGTCTAGACAACTCAAAGAGCTTCGGGCTTTCTAATGCCCCGAGTCGGAGATCGAGGACCGGGTGTGAAAAACCCAGAAGCTCTGCACCCTCTGCCAGGCTCAAGGCCCGAGGCAACCCTACTCCGCACGAGGCTGGGGGCGGCCTAGGCCGCTGCCTTCCGTGGGCCTTTTCCCGGGACATGGGAAATAGGGCTACACACGCACCGGGTGAGACGGACCCCGCCTGACGATGACCCCCAGAGGCCTCTCCGCTCCTTGGAACCTCGGTTTCCTCTAATGGAGCGAGAGGCGCAGACTACATACCTCGCAGTAAACTCACCCCGACGCCCTGGCGCCGGGAAGCGGCGGAGACAGAGCAGACAGCTGGGGAAGTTGCAGGATGCTTGAGGATTTCGAGAGATGGCGAGAGAGCGCGCGGGATGTCAAAAAAGAACAAGCACGCGACCAGACCTCCCTTTTCTTAGCCCGCGACGGCGGAAATAGGGCTACGCGCGCGGCGTGCGACCTAGAGCGGCACTTCCACAGGGCGGAACCCGGGCGCGCGGCTGTATAGCGCCCCTGGCGGAGAGGAGGTCAGCTTCTGACTGGAAGGATCGAGATAGTTTTCCAAAGTGGCCTGGAAGTTTTGAAGAAATCTTCCCTTATATACTTTGCCTTTCTGTTTGTTCTGAAGCTATTCCTTGTTCACTGATTTGTCATTAATCTGTAGGAATGGTCAGCCTTCCTCAATAGACTCTTTTACTAAGTTAAGTTTGCGAATGTGTTTAGTTTCTAATTCTTTCTGTCTCCCTATCCAGTGTACATCTCTGCCTGATTCACCACTGTATTTTAGCACTGGTTCAGTGGCTGCCACAGTAGAAAGAATGAATGAGTTCTACCCATGTACTTCTTTTTACCAGAGGGTGAGAAGGAGAGGAGTCCAGAGAGGCAGGCAGGGAATGAGTTCTTTACCAAACTTCGTCCTAAAAATGCATGGGATTGGCAGGCAGATAAAGCCCTTGAAGCAGTAGAGACCTGACCAGATTCTCACAGCCTATCAAAGACAGGCTTGGGAATGGGCTCATGCCCCCAAATTTCTCACAATAATGAATTCTGCCTGTGTCCTGGGCCAGGTGTGCCTCTTAGACATGGGCAATGCTGCCCTTGGCGCTGAGGAGGAGGGGGCCTCCCAGGAAGACTTCTGAGTTCACTGTCACAGTGGAGAAATCCAGAATTGACCTACACAACCAGGAGGGAAATGAAGGTCATGGAGTGTGAGAACAACACATATTCTATACCTGGGAGAAGTCCATGGGATTCTGAGACTCTGAGAATATTGGGCATGTGGGGAGGAGCCTTGAGGTGCTGTGGCTGGGAGGACACTAGACAAAGGGCTCAGGATGCATTCTTGAGGCCACACAGTCCTCTCCTGCCTCCTCCTCTTGCTCCCACTCTTCATGCACCCCCTCACTAGTGACCAGCCTTGGTTTTTGATTCTGAAAAATGGGTACTCGTGGCTCCTCCCTTGTAACTCTGCTGTGAGAATTAAGCCAGAGGTCCCTGTGGGGTTTCTTTTTCTTTTTGTGGTCCTGGGGATTGAATCCATGGTGCTGTACCACTGAGCAATAGCCCTAGCCCTGTGGTATTCTTCGAGAGGCAGAGAAATCGTGCTTTGTTTGTCAAATTTAAGGTCTCCCTGTCCAGAAGAAATATAATGCAGGCTACATATGTAATTTTACATTTCTAAGTCCACTTTAAAATTGTTTTTTAAAAAAATAAAAATAAATTTTAATTATGTATTTTTATTTAGCCCCATACTGTAACTAAAATATTATGGCAGCATGTAGCAATAGTTTAAAATTACAAATGAGATGTCTACCATTCTTCTTCTTGTATGAAGTCTTTGGAATGTGGTGTGTTCACATTCACAGCATATTGCATTTCAAATTGGCTGTATTTTCAGGGTAGGGGAGCTCCACATGGCTTGTGGCCCCTGTTCTCATCAGCTCAGGTGTGAGATACTCTGGCTTTGGTAATCCTTTGGAGCTAGAAGAGAAAAGCAAACAGGAAGCCGAGAACATGTCCTTCCCATTGCCCCTGCTTCTGAGCCTGGACACCCTCCGAGGGGCTTGCCCTCCTGCCTAATTAGACTGGGGGCCCTTTGCCCTCGACTGGAGAGTAAGACACAACTGCCCTCAGAAAGCTGGGGATGGACAGAGTCACGATTCAAACCTACATTTTCTTTTGCATTACTCATCCCCATAATGCCAGGGAAGTCATCTTGGCTGGTCCATTTCTGCATTCCTAGTGCCTACAAGGAGGCTGAGCATCTAAGAAGAGTAGTCGAGGCTTGTTAATCATGGTGTGACAAGGATGTCAAAATGGATGTTTCAGCTGATGAAGCACAAGAAATTACTATTTGTTAGGCAATAAAGAGTTGGATAGGCATGTGTGTGAGTGTGTGTGAGTGCGTGTGAGTGCGTGTGAGTGTGTGTGTGTGTGTTTGTGTGTGTGTTGTATACTGAGCAGGTACTTTACCACTGAGTTACACCTCCAGCCCTTGCAAGACTTGTTCTTACCCAATAATAGTCAGAAGAGTTACGAGACCACCCTGATGTTTTTGTAGGGACTGGAAAAAGACACTTCTGTTCAGCAAGTATAAAGAGACACTTGTAAATGATTACATACCAGAATAACTCCTGCATCGCATTAATGACAGATTTGGCTACAGCTGAGAAGGCAAAATTCTACCATCTGGGAATCTGTGACCTCATAGTGGCTGAGGGATCCTCAGGGCCTACAGCCCCTTCCCTTGAGGAGATGGAGTTGGGGCTGACTGGAGAGATTGTTCCAAGGAGGTGTTGCCTAGGATCTAAATGAGAAGTCAGCAACTAGCCACATTGGGCCTACAGGAGCCCTAACCCTCTCCCCACACCACAAATGGAAACCATGCTGAATATCTTGCTGGGTCTATTCATTGTCCTGCTCTGCTTGTGTATGATCCTCTGTTACTGTGCGTATCAGCAGCAATAGACTTGGTCTCCTGAAGTCTCGGACTAAAACCTGATGGACACCTTGGCCAGCCCAGTCGCCCAGGGCAATTCAGCTGCTCTTGATCTGCCCCGCAGACTACTATATATGTTTGTGCGGGTTGTGAACTGCACAATTTCCGAGAGCATTATTCACATCATAGTCTGTGGTTGAGAACCAGCGATGCTGGAGGAGATTGACTGAGCTGATGACTCGGAACATCTTTGGCTACAGGGAAAGAAGATATTTTCCTAGTAAGCCCCCCTCAGTGCAGCAGGGTGACCCTCTATTACATATTTCAACGCATAAATAGTGAGACCTTTTAATAAAGACCCTTGAGCACTTTTCTCTCCAATTCATGAAGTCAAACAGAAGAAAATTAAACCTGGTATAGTGAAACCTGGGCAGGGCCACTAGAAAAAGAGAAGGGTTTGCAAGCAGTGGGGAGATTTTCTGGGAAATACTGCCCTTCACTCCTCTGACACATTCTCATTTCTCAAAGTTACTTTAGAGTCAGTCGTTTCCACTCTTTTAGCAGCTCTGGGAGGAATCAGTCACCTCAGAGGTCTCAGAGGTCCCTGTGTCATCCTCAGAGAAAAGGAGAGTGAAACACTATCCCTGAAGCACCCATCTCCACTCCTCAGAATCTAGGGTATGTAAGGGAATAATGGGAGTAGGTCCAGGCCAGAATGTCCAGATGCAGACATTATGTCGAAGGCACTGGCTTTCTCTTGTGTCTGATGGGATTTAGGGTAAGTTAGTGCTATCTGCAGAAAGCTACTTTCTTGCATGCAGGCCAAGTTCCTTGAAATGTGGTCATACAATTGGACAAAGCAGGCTAAACTGATGCTGATGCTGTCACTGCTTCTGTAATCTAATCTATAAATGCCCCTCCCTGTGGTGACTGGTCCAGAGGGCAGTGCTCATCCAGCTGGCTCCTGCTGGACACAGTGTCATGGGGATGGAAGGACTATTGTCTTATAAAGCACCAGAGGCACTGTGTGAAGCAGGTGTACCTGTCCAGCCCCTCTACCCTGAACTTTCTGGCAAAGCACCTGTCTGGCCTGCTCCACAGGACCTTTCTGACAAAGTATCTGTCTAGCGTGTCACCACTGGATCTTCCCTGTAGTCATTTTTCAATAAACTTTCTGTCTCACATCCCATTTCTGTGTTTCTTCTTTGGACTCTTGGCAACCTATCCTCTCCTACTGGTGTAGTACAGCTGGGCTACACCTGTAGTCCATTATCTAACTTATCTTGAGGGTGTATTGGGAGGTGTTCAGTGTGTAAATGTCACCTCTCAGGGGCCCTGTGGCCTGAGCTTGGGATGCTCAGCCAGATCCTGGCTCCTGCCTGGTAAGGCTCACCCAGCAGGGCCTGCCCTGTGTGACGGTGGGCTTTGCAGGAGGGTGCCTGAAACCCCTGAAAGGGAGGAGGGACAGTTATGTTAGTCAGCTATCCATTCCTGTAACGAAATACTTGACTGAAAGTATCAGCTTAGAAGGAGGATAGATTTATTTTGACTGACAGTTTCAGAGGTTTCAGTCAATAGTCACTTACTCCCATTGATTCTGTGGCAAGGTAGTACATAGCTGCTCACCTTATGGTGGCCAGGAAGGAAGTGAGGGGCAAGAGGGGAAAATCAAGAACAAAATATACCCTTCAAGGATAGGCACTCCAGTGACCCCTCCAAATAAACCCCACCTCCCAGTGTTTCCACCACTGCCCAATAGCCCAAGAAGCTATGGATCCATCTGTGGACCCATCCACTATGAATTTGTTCCCTCACGATCTAATCACTTCCCCAAGGCCCACCTCTGAACACTGCTGCATTGAGAATCAAGCCTTGAACACAAGAGCTTTGGGGGAGTCTTTAAGATCCAAACCTAGGGCTGGGGTTGTGGCTCAGCGGTAGAGTGCTCGCCTAGCATGTGTAAGGCCCTGGGTTCGATCCTCAGCACTACTAATTAACTACTAATTATTAAAAAAAGATCCAAACCTAATAACAGGTGTCAGGACTTGGGCATCAGAGCTTGGTGTGGTGAAGCACTCCTCTAATCCCAGCGGCTCAGGAGGCTGATACAGAAGGATAGCAAGTTCAAAGCCAGCCTCAGTAACTCAGTGAGGCCCTAAGCAACTCAACCTTGTCTCTAAATGAAACATAAAAAGGGCTGAGGATGTGGCTCAATGGTTAAGCACCCCTGGGTTCAATCTCTGGTACCAAAAAAGAAAAAAGAAATTAATTAATTAATTTAATATTATCAAATACATTTTCTGCATCTATTAAATTGCTCTTGGATTATGTTATGGGTTTGGTTTTTGACTCTGACACCTTCTTTTGGGAGAGACAACCTGCTGTAGGCCCTGATTATCTTTGTACATCCTTCCTGGCCATGCCCTGAATGCAAAGCCATGACTAGAGTTTATCTGGGCAGCTTCTTAAGGTTGTGTTTTGCAATGTGCAACCTTGTAAGATAAGGTAAATGCACCTTGCAGACTAAAAACAGACTTACTTCTGTTCCCCCAAAGCTCAGTGGTCCTCATCTAACAACCTGTATATGCATGCACCCATCATGGGCATTCAGCTGCGCCATAGGACTTGTAAGGCAAGAGGAACTGATGTGAACATCAAGCTCTGTCTTTTGCTTTTGCTATGAATAATAAAGTCCTTAGACTCTGACTTTGGAATTTCCTGCTCACTGCCAGTATCTATAAAACAGAAACAGGCTAACATGTCTGCTTGCAAGTAGAGTTAACTCTTAGACCATGTACGGTTCTGGACACACTAACTTCATGACCTTAGAGTAGTTAATTAATCTTTCTGAGCTTTTATTTTCTCATTGACAAATGGGATGATGATAATAATGTTCAGGTGCCGGATGGTGGCACCACCAGAAGGTGCTGGCTGGCACCGTCCTCGTGGGGCCTGATGGGTGGCGACATCCCTCTGTAGCCTGCACGCTCTGCCGAGGCGACAGCGCTGCTGTGCTGTAGGTGAACTTGTGCCAGAGAGCTCTTCCTGGACAGGGTCGAGAAGGTCTATACTGGTATGGAGGACTGTAAAGATGTTTATTGTCTTTGCACAGCCTGAGGTTGCATTACGGTAAAAGAAAGAAAGAAAAAAATAAATCCCAGCATGAATAGCAGAAGGGGCTTTGGAGGAGTTACTTCACCGAAACCTGAAACTTGGGAAACTCCATTTTGAAAATGCCAGAGTGCCCATCCCAAATATTCTTGAAGATGCTGGAGTCAGGTTCAAGGACATTTGGCTCTCTTCTTTCTTCAAACCATGGTGGCAAGACATAATATTTGACTGGATTGGAGAATTGGAAGTTTTTCTCCTGGACAGCTGTCAAACCTGCAGTAGAACACATGCAGTGGAGGATCTCTAAAGGATCTTAAAGGAAAAGACTTTTAGGAGTGAGTCCCAAAAACTCTTCCCATGGGATCAAACCTTTCTTTCTTCCACTTTTCTGGGAAATGAAAATCCAAAGTTTAAATAAATAATGACAAACAATAAAAACAAAAACAACCAAATAATAATAATGTTCACCCTGTAGGATGGATGTCTTTGCCTATTTTAGGCTGCTATAACAAAATACTACAAAGTGGGTGGCTTATAGACAATAACAATTTATTTCCCCAAATTCTGAAAGCTGGGAATCTGCGATGGAGGCACAGTAGATTCTGACCTGTGGGGGCCCACTTCCTGGTTTACAGAGTGATGGCTTCTTCTCATTATGTTCTCAAATGACCGAAGAGGGAAACAAGCTCTCCAGAGCCTCTTCTAAGGACACTAACCCTATTTATGAGGGCTCCACCTGCATGACCTGATTAAACCTAAACACCTTCCAAAGATCGCACCACCTAACACCATCATATTAGGGTATAGAGCTTCAACATATGAATTTGGGGAGCATTTGTCCATAACAAATGTTCCATGCGTGGTCAGTGAGTGCAATAATGGATGGAAGGAATAATGATTGGTTGCAAGGAAGCTTGAATGAGCGTCTTAGTGATCTTAGTGGTATGCTGATTAAATGAATTAAAATTCCTGAAATACTTGTGCTCAAAAATATTAGTCAGTGATTGACATTATATTAATATTCTTTAATAGCATTGACAGAAGGCACTATACCAAAAGATACACTAGAGAAGAAGTGTTCATCTACTTCTATGATCTTTACATCTTCAATAGTTTCACATTCGTACATTCCTAAATAGAAGTTACTTATCATTTCATGATTAGTTCCTACTTTTCCACTAGACTTTAGATTAAATATTCTTTCTTCAGAGAAGCCCTCCTGTTCACTAGGCTAAACAAGTCACCACTGATATTATATTATACCATTCTACCCACTTCCTTTGTGGCACTCATTATGATTTTTAATTATTGTATTTTCTAACTTGTTTATTATTCCTATTAGGATATAATCAATAAAAAGTCTGTCTTCTTCGTTTCATTTTCAATGCTTAGTCCAGTTTTTGATAAAAAGTAGCTGTTCGCGGGGTTGGGGATGTGGCTCAAGCGGTAGCGTGCTCGCCTGGCATGTGTGCGGCCCGGGTTGGATCCTCAGCACCACTATACAAACAAAGATGTTGTGTCTGCCGAGAACTAAAACAAAATAAATAAATATTAAAATTTTTTTTAAAGTAGCTGTTCAGTAAGTTTTCTGGATGAATGGAAGTCTAGATCAGTTGATGGATGAAAAGATGAATGTATAGATGCATAAATATGTATAGCTATTTAAATGGATGGGAGGATGGGTGGCTCAATGGTATAGATGAATAATTGGATGGATAATGAAGCTGATGTTCCATAAATATTTTCTGCATATGATGCAGATGCGTGGTGGGTGAGTGCAACAATGGACTGAAGGAATAATGATTGGTTGCAAGGAAGCCTGAATGAGTGTCTTAGTGGCTGATTGAATCTCAGCTCCGCTCAGCCAGGGGCGCTGCAGGGCCACTTGCTCAGCCGCCGCTCTAGGCTGCCCTCGCGCGCGCAGCCGCAGTTCCGCCGGCACTGCGGGGCGTAGAGTGTCGCGTAACTGCTGCGGGATGCTTCTCAGCACTTTTCTGCACCTGGGTGCATTCCCTTCGGTCGCTCCGAGTGAGTCCCTGAGGGTGCGCGCTCCAGGCGTCATCTGTGCGAGGACCCCAGGTGGCCTCCAGGAGTCCCTGTCAACCCCGGGAAACCGAGGCCCCGGGGGCGGAGCAGCCGCCGGGGTCAGCGCTAAGCAGGGGGTCCATCCTGCGCGCAGGGCCGGGGGCCTCCCGGGAAGAGGCCCTCGGTGGGCAGCGGGCTTCCACGGCCGCCCCAAGCCGACGTCAGAGGCGCGCGGCCTCGGCTCCGTGTCGGTCTGCGCCCGGCCTCGGCGCGCCGGTGGGCCCGGAGCGGGGCGGGGGTCGCGCAGAGCCTCGGGTTTTTTTTTTTTTTAATATTTACTTTTTAGGTTTCGGTGGTCACAACATCTTTATTTTATTTTTATGTGGTGCTGAGGATCGAACCCAGCGCCCCGCGCATGCCTGGCGAGCACACTATTGCTTGAGCCACATCCCCAGCCCGCCCCGGGGTTTTTTCACACCCTGTTCTTGGACTCCTGGCATTCAAAGACCCGAAGCCTCTTGTCCGTCGTCTCATAGGGTCAATCTTTGTGTCACGATGAATATTCCCCTCCACAACTTTTAAAAGCAAGACCTAAAACCCATTTTGAAGACTGGTTGGTTGAAGTTTAAGTTAAGGACACTCTAAGGGCCCAGAGGGGCAGCGTCTGGACTCGCGTCCCTCTTCTCACTGAAAGCCCTTTCCCCGTGCTTTTTTCTGCCTAGGCCTCGCTGCTGTGCGCCTCTCTTGCAGAGAGATGACAGCTCTTCCTTGGACGTTTTCACTGGTTCTGCAACACCCAGTGTCCCCTTCTCTCCGCACTCCCCGGTGGGCGCCCAGTGTCCAGGGGGAGTTTGTCCCTGGGTAAGTGTTGCTACTCATGAGCACCTGGAAATGGGGGGTGCCTCCTATATTGCCTTTGTGGACACCAGTAGAGGGGAAGGTGATGGAGCTCTACCACGTTCTGAAAAACGGTGTGGCAAAGCCTTTGTGCAGATACCTGTGTAGGTATTGGGGTGGGGTACATGGCTGAGTTTGGGGACCAGAAAGACCTGGGTAGATCCTGGCAAAGTTTCCTCATTTTCCTGAGCTTTACTTTCTGTAAAGTAGGGAAGCTGCCAAAGCTCTGGTGGGTGAAGGGTTTGTCTGCTTTTGTTTTGCTTTTGAGCCTTTATGTCTGGCTCCATGTAGATGCACAGTAATTGGGTGGATGAGTGAATGAATAATTTAGGCGTTTTGACCAGAAGTTGGTCTTCCCATGAACATTTTTTCAATACTGTGCATTAAACCCAGGGTCTTGTACACTGAGCTATATACCAGGCTCTTTTCATTTTTTTAATTTGAGACATGGTCTTGCAAAGTTGTCCAGACTTGCCTTAATCTTGACATCCTCGTGCCTAAGCCTCCCAAGTCATCAGGAATTACTGGCATATGGCACCATATCCAGCTTTTCCTGGGGCAGGTGAAGCTTATGTTGGAAGAAATAACTGCATAGTGCTTAGGGTTATTTGAGCTTGACACTTAGACAGTCAGCAAGAATTTATCCATTTGAGTCTCTTTTGCAGAAGATGGGTCCCAAGTGATGAGGGAACCTTCTAGAACCTCTACAGTATTATCAGAGTTTGCACAAAAATGATCTGAAAAGTTCTCTGTGGAAGATGATTATTTGCCCCTGTGGAATTGTCAACTTCTTTCCTTGTTCATGAGGAAATGGTGTAGTTCATAGATTAGTACAACAGCCCACATTTGTTAAACAGCTAGTTACTGTGCTAGAAGCTCTTCATATGCTTACAAGGATGAGTTTGACTAGGTAACATTTAGGTGACTCATCTGGTACTTCTTGTTTATTGGAAAGGTGGTACCTTAGTGCAGAGGGGCCTGTGAGAAGTGTCTCCATCCTGCCAGAAAACAGCTGGATGAGAGTGCTCCAAAGATGAGGTCTGTCCCCCGGAGGTCTGGGGCTTTGGTTCCCCAGGCATCACATATTCTGAGAAACAGATGGAAGTGAGATGAAGGTGGATTCTTGCTGGCTCCCAGTTTTATCCTTCCTGGGGTTTTTGATATGCATCTGGTTGTTGCTCTGCCTGCTTGGGTTCAGAATCTTCAGGGATCCCTTCTTTGGTGTATTGGCAGCAGAACATTTACATGAACAGCAGGAAGGGTTTTGGTATCATGCTAATCTGTACCCACATCTCAGTTGCTTCACTTCCGCCTCCTATCTTTGGGAGCTTCTCTTATCTTCAGTTTAGTTCCCCAGAAAGCAGGAATACAGTGAGCCAGTTGTTCGAGGAGCACAAGTCCCTGTCTTTCACAACCTAAGAACTCCATCAGTTTTCTTTAGAGGTGTCTTCCCTTTGCCTTACCTATCTGGGTCATGATGAAGGAATTTTTGTAGTATTAGAAACAATTGCTGGGTTCTTGTGCTCAGCTGGGCTGGCTGCTCCTGGCTTCTGCCTTAGTCTCCTTTTATAGCAAGCCTTCTGTCCTTTTCTGCCCCTGCATTCGTAAGTGATCATGGGGTGTTCATGTCATGGTCTTTGGTAGTGCAGGCAGAGGAAATGTGGAAAGAACTGTCCTGTGTTTGGAAGGTCTTACCCTGGCCTTCTGCTTCTGGCAGCTTTCCCACACTCCTTCTCAGTTTTGCTCATACCTTGGACTCCAGGGCATTGGCAGCTGCAATGTGTGTGTTACTACTGCTATTGGGAACAGTCTATGTGTGTTGTTGAAGTTCCTTTCAGCAGCCAGAAGAGTCACTGCCAGGCAGCCCGGAACACTCCCACAAACCTGCTTTGGCATTCATTTCAGCCTGTTGCTGGTTACATAGTCAGTATTGATTGCCTTGCCTTTGACCATCTATTTGTCTCCCTCTTTAGAGTTAACTCTTATTTGTGAAGAAATGGTGTGCTTGCCAACATTTTTAGGATGCTTAGTGTCTGGTAGCTACTGTGCCAAACCGTTTCCTGGTGCTTACCATGTCCTGCTGTGAGCAATGACACCTGGGTGCCCATCAGTGCTCCTTGTCTCTTGCAGATGAGTCCACTGTGTACAGAGGCATCATGGGAGTTGTCATTGTCAGGAACATTCTACACCCCAGGAATCTTGAGGTAAGATTTCTGGTCCATTTTCTAGTCTCTCGTATTGGATACAGCCCTGTTCCCAGGGGCTCTGGGTGATGATGTAGGGGAGCTGAGAGGTGAGGTAAAGGTGGTACCATGGGTCCCCAAATCTACCACCCACCCAACCAATTCTAGATCACACCTGACCCTTCACATACCTTCAGTGGCTGCTGCAGGGGAAAGCCTCCAAGGTCCCACGTGTGGAATGAGAGGTCTCTGGGACATCTGCCCTCTCTACCTGGGCACCAGCAACAGCATACTGTAATGATAAATGGGTGGCATGAGAATCCCTTCTGCTGCTCTCTCAGGCACTCTACCACTGAGCTATACCTCCATCCCTTTTGTATTTTGAGATAGAGACTTACTAAGTTGCTAAGGCTGGCCTTGAACTTAGGATCCTCCTTGCCCCAGCCTTCCAAATTGCTAGGATTAAAGGCATGCTTCTCTGCATCAAACAGAACCTAATTTTTTTATTTGAAAAAAAGAAGTGGTGACAGAAATGACTTTTGTTGTACTTGAAACCCCATGATTCTTACCATTACAACCCTAACATTTTTCCACTGTTTATGTCCAAAGTGACTTCTCTTTGATTCTCCTGGGCAAGGAGTTTGTATGCGGTTTCTCTAGAAAAGAACGGTCATGGTTGGGTCCTGTGCATGGCTGGCTGGGCTATTTTCATGAATTTTCCCTGTACTATGCCATAGGCTACTACCATCTGCTGCTCTTCCTTGACCTGTCTCTGCCTGTGTGTGTACCTGCATTCAAAAGTGATCACGGGCTGCCTGTGCTCTGATCATCCATAATGCAGGGAGAGGAATTGCTGAAAGCCATTTCCCGTGTTTGGAGGGTCCAGTCTGTCCCTCTCAAATGCTGGTGCTTTCACACACTCTCGCTTCTTTCCTGCCAACATATTCTGACCTCAGGGATGCTGGGGGCCGCTGAATGAGAATCAGTGATGGGAGACATTATGGCTTAGCCTCCTGTTATCAGAGACCAAACTATATCTGCATCAAGGTTTAGATACTTTAGATGTTCAAAGGAACCAGGATGAATGATGTATAATGAATAAGTGTAATATTAAATGACACGTGTTTGTGGCCATAGAATTTTCAAAAGGAAGCAGTCTTTTGTAAGCGTAAGGCTAGGCAGGCAGTGTGCTGGGCAGTAGGAACGTACCCCAGGGAGTAGGGAGCAGCATGAGGAAGACTTAGAGGTTGAGTTGAGCGAAAGCTCCTGTCCCACCAAGGAGACAGATGTACAGGCCAGTAGTGATAGCAGGGAGGGATAGACTTTTTGATTGTTCTCTAGTATTGAGGTTCCTTTTTCATTTGGCGTGAAAAAAACCTGGTAGCTCATATCTAATGGATTGGGTACATTCTCATTGATGTCACCATGAAGAAAAATGGGATAACCATTTAGCCATTGGAAACCAAACACTTGGGTTAGGGATAAGGATGTAGCTAGTGTAGAGCACTTGCCTAGTATATGTGAGATCCTGGGTTCCATCTCTATCACCACCAAAAGAAAACAAAAAAAAGAAAAAGAAAAAGCACTTCATTAACCTCCCCTTTCTGTGGCCCTCTCCTCACTCTAGGGATGCTTCCTTGGATCTGGAGATTATGGAAAGAAGGCCCAAGGGATAGAGGCACTGACCCTTTCAGGATGGTGACATGGGGTGCCAGCTCTCTTTATGGTGATTTATTGCCAAGAAGCCAAGTCAACCTGTGTTTCTGAGATTGAGATAGAAATTCCAAGCCGCTGGCCTGGACTAACTTTCTCTTGGTCTGTGGTGTTGATTGTGGACACTGGCACAACAGAAAGTGAAGTGTGATGTTGCTACGTGACACATTGTCAGACCTTGCCACTGTTGCCTCAGCACAACGTGGAAACTTTTACTCTGTACGATCAGGGCAAGGAAAGCCTTGGATTCTGGGGACTTGGGGTTCATAGGTGGAAACCCTTCAGCTGGCTCTGCCTCTCCTCAGCAGTGCCACGGATCCCTGGATGGGAAGACTAGTGTCCATCTCATGTGTAGCCAGCTTCTGTGTCTTCTTGCCTATTCCTGTTTTAACTGTTTAGATCTAAAAAAAAATGCTAATGACGTTTTCTATGCTGTGTCCTTGTCCTTTTACCTCAATAAATTTTGAAACATGCCCTGCTGCTTGTTCTTTGCTTTTCATTTATTTGTTTGCTAATAGCTCTGTGCACCAGCCAGGCTGAGTGTAGAGAAGGTGGGTCACAGGAGCAGATCTTCTGGTTTCACTCATTGAGAATTACCCCTTGACACACTCTCAAGGTTTGCCCTGGGGACTATGAGATGGGATGTAGGATTTTTCCTAGAGATTGGATAATCCTATGTGCTTCTAGGAGCTCACACATAGAAGTTAGAATTGAGTTGGCTGAGGGAAGGGGTGTAGGCCTATAATCCTAGCACCTCTAAAGATCAAGGTAGGAGGATGCCAAGTTTGAGGACAGCCTTAGCAATCTAGGAAGATCCTCAGCAACTTAATAAGACCCTGTCTCTAAATAAAAATTAAAGGGCTGGGGCTGTAGCTCAGTGGCAGAGTGCATGTCTAACATGTGCAAGACACTGGGTTCTATCCTTAGCACCACATAAAAATAAATAAAACAAAAAAATAAAAGCATTCTGTCCATTTACAACTACTTTTTTTTTTTTTTTTAATTAAAAGGACTGGGGATGTGTCTCTGTTAAAACAACTCCAGGTTCTATTCCCAGTACCATAAAAAAAAAAAGGAAAAAAAGTTGAAGAAAATAGTTGACTGATACATTATTTTTAACAATTTTTTCTTTGGTACTGGGGCCTTGCTATTGCTAAGGCTGGCCTCAAATTTGCAACCCCCTTGACTCAGCCTCCTGAGTCACTGGGATTATAGGTGTGTGCCACTGTGCCCAGAGGGGTCGGGGCTTTGGGAGGGAAGATGATAGTGGGGTGGACATAGCAAAAAGGCAGGGCCAAAGATCTGGAGGAAGGCAGTGGTGCTCTGAGCCCTAGGTGATGAAAGTACACCAGGATCTGGAGTGAACTTAGAGGGATGGTTTTGAGCAGAGGTGGGAATAGAGTACACAAAGAGAGTCCCTTGGAGGACTCTGGAAGCATAGTAGGCAAATGCCGGTGTTGGGATTTCTATTTATCACCAGGTCTATTTGCTCTTTGGGGATTATGTTCAGTAGCAACAAATGCGCTCAGCATGTGTGTGTATAACCACCTGTGAGCACATGATCTGTCTTCACTTTTCAGGTGAGGTCCATACAAAGGAACACTCCCAAAGGCGTGACAGAGAGGGGAGAGTCCATTGGTTTATTTCTTCAATTGAAACTGAACTCACTGTGACAGGGGCTGAGGGGAAACCAAGCCCTCAGACACCTCAAGGCTAGCAGGCGCATTCTTAGGACTGAAGAACTGAAGAGCACTCTGCCAATCACTTCTTTTTTTGTACTAAGTATTGAACCCAGGGGTACTTTACCACTGACCTACACCTTGAGTCTTTTTTTTTTTTTTTTTGAGACATCCCACCAAGTTGCTGAGCATTGACTGCAGCCTACGTAAGCTACAAACTATCAGAGCTCACACTGGCTATGGTTTAGATATTAGGTGTCTCCAAAAAACTCATGTGTGAAACAATGTGAGATGGTTTAGAGATGAAATGATTGGATTATCAGAGCCTTAGCCCAATCAATGTATTAACCCACTGATTAACTGGGTGGTAATTGTAGAAAGTAGGTGTGGCTGGACCTGTGGGTTACAGAGGCATGCCTTTGAGGTATATATTTTGTATCTGGTGAGTGGAGTCTCTCTCTGCTTCCTGGTGCCATGTTCCCAGCTACTTTCCTACACCACACTCTTCCTCCATGATATTCTGCCTTGACTTGGACTCTGAGGAACGGGAATCAGCCATCTATGGACTGAGACCTTGTAAACTGTGAGCCCTCAAATAAACTTTTCCTCCTAAATTGTCCTCATTTGGGTCTTTTAGTTGCAGCAGTGACCAAACTGACTACAACAATTAGGGGTGCTAGAGAGCTCTCTCTACCAGGCCCAGTGACCTTTGGAGGCAGGAGGTGTCTGAGTCCATTGCAGTGCTCCTCCTGTTTTTGACCATCTGTCGGCTTGAGGTGAAGTTGACATCCAGATGAGACCAAGATCACCAAGTCAGCACTGCACTCAGGGCCAGGTTCCCCCTCTTGACTCTCCTTGCCCCTTGCCCACAATCATAAGTTCAGTAATTGGTAAAGCACAGTCACCCGAGGACAGCCATTGATAGACCTAACCCATGACCTTGGTTCAAAACCAATAGCAGTAGCTGGGAATGGTGGCACATGCCTGAAAGCCCAGCAACTTGGGAGGCCGAGGCAGGAAGACCACAAGTTCGAGGCCAACCTCAGCAATTGAGCAGGGCCTAAAGCAACTTAGTGAGACTCTGTCTCAAAAAAATAAAAAGGGCTGGGGATGTAGCTCAGTGGTAAAGCACCTCTCGATTCAATCCCTGTTACCAAAAGCAACAACATAAATAAATAAATAAATAAATAAAACCTAAACCAACAACAGTGATAACCAAGATTCCTTGTGGGGGAGCTTCGCATAGATCATGAACCTAACTGTTTACAGGAACAGAAACAGGAAGACATAGAGGGTCTGCACCCAGGAGTTTGGAGCATTGAGCTCCTGTTTCAGGTGAGAGAACTGTTTCTAGAAGTCTTACAGGTGGAAAATACTTCAACTTCCAAAGCACATTCGTACTCCACAAGGTCTGGCTGTGGGCAGCACTCAACTTCCACAAAGCTCATGTTCAGTCTTCTCTGAATTTCTGTCTTTTTTTTTTTTTTTAATGAGAAATCTTGATGTTTACCACCACTGTGCCCAATACTAGAGGGAGCACAGTGACACTCATTACAGCCAACAGACACGCCAGCATAGTGCCTGACAGCTGGAAAGTGCCTATCAGCACTCAGGGATGGGAATGAGGCCAGTGGCAGCCTGGACAACATGAAACAGGAGTAGTTTTTGTAAGTCCTTTGGCCTCCAGGGCTACAAATGCCATGTCACCAGAATGCCCTACTTGGCCTGCATTGGGAGACCACCTAATGAAATCATAAGAACCTGGTATGGCCACTTAATTGCCGTGAGGCCTGAAGTGCGTTCTTTTGCCTCCCTGAACCTCAGTTTCTGGCTCTGTAATTTGACCACAGAATAGCACTTACTCCAAATAGCAAGGATTAAATCAGATGATACATGTTAAATGCATGATAAGGTACCTGCTTCATGCCTCAATAAATGTCAGCTATTTTTATCTGATGAGCATATATCCCAGTGGGGCTGGTGTTAATCATCACTATCACTGGTTGAACTTTTATTAAATGCCATGCACTGTATTAAGCCCACATATATAATTACCTCATTTAATCTTCATACCACAGTGGGGTAGATTTAATTATCTTCCATTTTAAAAATAAGGAAGTCCAGACAGGGAAATGAAGGGACCTGCCTCACACCTAATACCAGTTTTCCACTTCCTGGTATATGAAGTAGTGAAAACTGTTGCAGCCCGATTTCATAAAAAGCATGAGTATAGCAGGCTTCCGAAGCTTCTTTGTACTGGGAAACTGGAAATTGGATATTTTACTAGTCCTTCCATTGGCTTCAAATTATTGCCTGTTATCCTGTCTTCCTAAAAGATTCTCCATCTAGAGGTTCTGCAGATTGAACTTGTGACCCTGACATGTATAGGGTCAATAGCCAACACCCAAATATCAAGTGTCCTTCTAACAATGTTGTCTGAAGCAGGAGTCATCCCAGGTCTTTAGAACTGGAGGAAATCTGAGAAGGGTATTACTGAGGTGGCCCAAGAATCAGAATTAACGTCAAGAAAAGTCATGATCCTACCTGGGCATTACTGCTGGGTACCAGAAACCTATATGAAGCAGCTGGTGGGAGATGACATGACAGAATCAAGAGAGGAAGATGGAGAGCTAGACTGAAGGCTCATTTGTCCATCCAAAGATATAGGTATTAGGTATGGTGCAGGGAATAGAGATATGGTGATGAACAAGTAAGTTTCTGCCCACAAGAGGGTCACATGTATGAAGATAAGTTCTATTGATTCACACATCAGGTATTAATAGATGAGTCACTATGCATCGGGCTCGGATGCACAGTGGGCATCAGCGGGGCATACAGCTCTGAACAAAGCAGATGAGGGTTCTTAAGAACTGTTATAGGGCTGGGGATGTGGCTCAAGTGGTAGCGCGCTCGCCTGGCATTCTTTCGGGGCCCGGGTTCGATCCTCAGCACCACATACAAACAAAGATGTTGTGTCTGCCGAAAACTAAAAAATAAATATTAAAAAAATTTTTAAAAAAAGAAACAGTAAAAGTGGTAAGATGGAAAACACAAGAAATTTCTTTGATTTCCCAACTCTGAAATTCTTTCTTTTTTATTAATTTTTTCATTTATATATGACAACAGAATGCATTACAATTCTTATTACACATATGGAGCACAATTTTTCATATCTCTGGTTGTACACAAAGTATATTCAACCTATTCGTGTCTCTATACATGTACTTTGGATGATAATGTCCATCACATTCCACCATCATTTCTAACCCCATGCCCCCTCCTTTCCCTTCCCACTCCTTTGCCCTATCTAGAGTTCATCCATTCCTCTCATGCTCCCCCTTTCTACCCCATTATGAATCAGCCTCCTTATATCAGAGAAAACATTCAGAATCTGGTTTTTTGGGATTGGCTAACTTCACTTAGCATTACCTTCTCTAACTCCATCCATTTACCTGCAAATGCCATGATTTTATTCTCTTTTATTGTTGAGTAATATTCCATTGTGTATATATGCCACATTTTCTTTATTCATTCATTTACTGACGGGCATCTAGGTTGGTTCCACAGTTTAGCTATTGTGAATTGTGCTGCTACAAACATTGATGGGCT